TGGGCAGACAGTCGTAGGAGCTCGGTAGCTCTGCCCCATTCCCCAGGTAGCAGCCAGCTAGAATATTAAAAGCACATTTCACAGTTTTATTAAAGTATATCATGTACTTCATGCACTAATCACAGCTCATTAAAATTGTTGTTGTTGAGACAGGGCCTCTCTGTTATACAGCTCTGTCTGTCCCGGAACTCCCACAGATCACCTGCCTCTGCCCCTGGAGTGCTGGGATTAAAGACATGCACTCCTATGCCCAGCTGAGATGGGCTTTTACAATAGATGCAGGCTGGCCTTGAATTTGCCACCTGTTATTCTTTTTTTTTTGTTTTGTTTTGTTTTTTTTGTTTTTCGAGACAGGGTTTCTCTGTGGTTTTGGAGCCTGTCCTGGAACTAGCTCTTGTAGACCAGGTTGATCTCGAACTCACAGAGATCCGCCTGCCTCTGCCTCCCGAGTGCTGGGATTAAAGGCGTGCGCCACCACCGCCCGGCCACCTGTTATTTTTTTAGCCTCTTGAGTGCTGGGATTACAGGTGTGCCCCACATGCCGGTTTAGTTGAATTGGGTTATATGCCCGACAATCGATCTTAGAACATTTTCATCACCCCCCATCAAAGAAATCCTGTACCCATCAGCCCATCACTACTCAAGTCTGTGTCTTCCCATCAGCCCATAGCAAACACAAATATATTTTCTGTCTCTATTGATTTTCATTCTCAGATATTTCATATACTTAGAATTATGCCATATATCTCTTTGGTAACTGATGTCTTTCCCTTTTTATAAGATTTATTTTGGGGGGGTTTGGAGAGATGGCTCAGCAGTTAGGAATATTGCCATTCTTCCAATACATCCAGGATTCTGTTGAGAGACCTGTCACATAACAAGCAAACAAATCATGAACACTTCCTGTTCTTACAGAGGACCTGGGTTCGATTCCCAGCACCTACATGATGGCTCACAGTCATCCATAACGCTGTTTCCAGCGAATTTGACTTCCTCATCTGATCCCTGAGGGCATCAGGTCCATACTTGGTGCACATACATATATGCAAGCAAAACATACAAGTAAATAAAATTAAATTAAACAGACAGGGTGTTATTATGTAGCCTAGGCTTGCCTGGAACTCTTAGAGATCTACCTGCCTCTGCCTCCTAAATTCTAATAGCTGTGCTTAAAAAGTCAACATCAGGTTTTATTTATTTATTTATTTATTTATTTATTTATTGTTTTTTCAAGACAGGGTTTCTTTGTGTAACAGTCCTAGCTGTCCTGGAACTAGCTCTTGAAGACCAGGCTCAACACCAGGCTTTAAAAAGTCAATTTTTGGCCGGGCGGTGGTGGCGCACGCCTTTAATCCCAGCACTTGGGAGGCAGAGGCAGGCGGATCTCTGTGAGTTTGAGACCAGCTTGGTCTACAAGTGCTAGTTTCAGGACAGGCTCCAAAACCACAGAGAAACCCTGTCTTGAAAAACAAAAAAAAAAAAAACAAAAAAAAAAAGTCAACTTTTGTTGCTGTGAACCTGGAGATCTCAATGAAAAGGAGGAACACTTCACTTTGGCTCATGGTTAAAAGGACTTTGGTCCAGGGTCCATTTGTTTCATTTGCATGGGGACATGGTCAAGCAGAACACAGAGGCAGAAGCATGTGACAGAGAAAGCTGTTCCCCTCTTGGAAGAAGAAAGGGATAGAGAGCCTGGGAGGAGAGCATGGCATCACTAACCCTCTTCATACAATCAGGCCCCACTTTCTACCATGTTCACCGTCTTCCAGGGGTCCATTTAGCTGTGAGTCCAGCAGTGGATGAATCCACGGATGATGTCATCACTCTCATGTTCCAGTCACTTCCCCTGAAGCCCACCACTGAACACGCACGAGCCTTTAACATGCCCTGAAAATCCCCTCTGCCCTCATCTGTACTTGCCAGCACGGCCATTGTAGTCAGTGGTATTGGTTTTATGGTTTTAACTCAAAGTTGCATTCTATTATGATCAACAGATTCTGGGAACCACAGGGATTCAGAGAGTACAGTGTACCCAGGAGTTGGCACCGAGCTGTCTGGAGCCTAGGCTGCAAAGTCTCAAAGGCGGCCGATGACTCAGTGCCTAGGGCTAAGTTCATCTGGAAGGTTTTAAACTCAGACACCTGCTAGGTTTTCCTGGTGAGCTGCTTTGTCCTCAGTTAAGCGGTTGCTTGGAATAGTTAAGTGTTTTCTCCATGGTGGTCTCACTACGAGAGAGATTTTGGGCAGCCTCACTGCTAATTGTCTAAGAGAATCAGGTAAAATGCCATTCAGACAGACATACAATGTCACTTGCCCAGAGTCAGTCTACACCACAGTTCAAACTGTCACTTGCACAGTCGGTCTACACCATCGGTCTACACCATAATTCAAATGTAGGGACATTTTTTTCTTTATTTCTAAGCCACACTGGTCTCAACCTCTCTTTTTAGCTGAGAATGGTCTTGATCTTCCGCTTGTCCTGCTTCTACCTCCAGAGTCTGGGATCCCAGGCATGTGTGCTCATGTTTCATTGTATGCAATGCAGGAGGGTGAAGCCAAAGCTTCAAGCATGCCAGGTGAGCGCTCTAGCAGCTGAGCCACATCTTGCTGCATCTGCCTAACTTAAAACCTATTTTAAACCTGCTCTGCTTTAGAAAGCATCGTGTATGTTTTACCTGAGACCATCTGCACCGCCCCCTTCCCAGGCAGTGTTCATTAAGGCTTGTTGAAAACGCGAAACATCTGCTTTCCTAGCCTCCCTTGTAGCTCTTGACACAGGTCTGCCCAGTAAGACACCAGCCATAATCTGTTGCTAGGCTTCTAGGCAAGCTCCAACCCCGGACAAGAAAATGACCCATGATGTGGAGATTCCAGCTACACTGCCATCTTTGGGGAAAGGCCAAAAGAATTGTTACATCCTTAGAGGTAAAAAGTGAAAGTACTGGTCCTTGTACCGTTGAGCCACTGAACTGGAGTAGCCGCCTGTCCGGGCCCCTTAGCCTGTGAGAAAATAAACCCTTATTTGGTAAAGCCCCGATAACATCTATCAATCCAAACCTGGAAAACTAAAGGACTTCCTTTGGAGTTGTAGGAATCACACCTGAGGTGTAACAGGTCCATAGAACAGAGTCAATGATGCAGATAAGGAAGGGGGAGACAATTTGAACTGAAATGGATGAGTAGAGAAACTCCATTGACATTGGGAAAGAATTGGCGTTGTATGAAAGGCTCTACATCACCGATTCATTCAAGCCAGTATGGTGGTGCATTCCTTTGATCTGAGCACTTGGGAGACAGAAGCAGGTGGATCTCTGCAAGTTCAAGACCAGCCTGGCCTACATAGCAAGTTTCAGGGCTACATAGTGAGCCCCTCTCTCAAAAAAGGGAGGGGTCTGCTAGAGGCATGGCTCAGCAGACAGAGCACCAGCTGCTCTTCCAGAGGCTCGATCTGGTTTGATTTCCAGCACCCACGTCATTTCAGACCTGTCAGTGATTCCAGGCCCGGGGAATCTGACACCCTCTCTCCTCAACAGCACAGATGTACACGCAGGCAAAGCACCCACACATATAAAATTAAAAAAAAAATTCTTTTGCTTTTTGAGACAAGGTTTCTCTGTGTACCCTTGGCTGTCCTGGGGAACTCACTCTGTAGAGCAGGTTGACTTTGAATTCAGAGATCCTCCTGCCTCTGCCTCCTGAGATTAGAGGCATGTGCCAGAACTATCTGGCAAAATTTATTTTTTTTTTCCAAGAAACGATTCATCCAACAATAACATCTTGATGTCCATGAAAATCTAGGCACAAGTTAATCATCTCCTTCAGATGACACAATCCAAGTGTGAAGGTGATTAGAGCTCCCATCCTGCGGGGCACCTGGTGTCCTCAGAAATCTCATTTCCCAACTCTGTTTTGAAAGGCTCTTTGCAATTTGACTTTAATTTGCCCTGTAGTTGGGCTTTCTGTCACCCAATCCTTGATAGCAGCACTGTCCTGGGGGCCCAGTTTTCCCACTTCTGGCGTTGTAAAAGTCTGCCTTCTCTGCAAACAAACTCAAGTTCTTGTGGCATTTGCAGCCATCTTGCTTCCTATTTCCTTCCTGTTAGAGAAGGCTGCCTGTTCACTGTGGAGCCAGGAGTGGGAAAACTTGTATTTGCAGTAATCCTCCAGCCTCTGCTCCTGAGTGCTGAAATTACAAATGCGGGCCACCCTAGTGTTCCTGGAGGAGATTTTGGATTTCTACCATTCTTCTTCTTTTTTTTTTTTTGTTTTTTGTTTTTGTTTTTCAAGACAGGGTTTCTCTGTAGCTTTGGAGCCTGTCCTGGAACTCCCTTTGTAGACCAGGCTGGCCTCGAACTCACAGAGATCCTCCTTGCCTCTGCCTCCCAAGTGCTGGGATTAAAGGCGTGCGCCACCACGCCAGCCCGCATGGATTTTTATCATTCTTGTGCCTTCCTCTCTATATCCCCGTATGGAACTGGGTGGTCTTAAATAGGGCCTTAAAATAGCAAGGATTTACCAAGTACTTTGTTTTCGTAGGTTGGGATTGCCCAGTTAGACTCCTCAGCTGGATGGTGGATTTGCGGAGGCTGAGGGTAATTAAAGCAGAAGGGGACTGAGTGGTGCTTCTGCCAGCACAGAAGCGTGCCCGAGCACAGCAAAGTGAGCTCTAGGGATCAGACAAACGAAGGATCTGGGTTTCCGTCTTACATTTAATTACCAAGGCGAAAAGTTAATATTATAATGCCGATTTCCATTTGAAAAATCTGTGTTAGAAAGATGTTTCGTTGAGTTTCCCATAGCAGATGGAGAGTTAAGGGTGAGGAGTCGTGGCTTTCTTCCATTTTTAGGTCCGCACAGTAGGTGCCTGTTGGTTGAATAACAGATCGTGGCGTGGAGTACTCCGGCTTCAGTTATTAAATCAACCAATAGGGGGTTTCCTCCCTACGGGCTCCCAAGCCCCGCCCCACACGCCGCGTGTCGCGAAGGCGGCCGCAGCCAAGGGCGCTTTACGGCAGCCGCGTTGCAGCGGGGCGGGGCGCCGGGCGGCCCGCGCTTGACGGCAGCGGTGGGAGGCAGGCCGGCAGGCAGACGGGCTCGCAGGCGGGTGGCGACGGCCGTGCTAGCTGCAGAGGGCGGGAGCGAGTGAGTCACTGTGCGCGTGTGAGGGAGGGAAGGAGCGAGGGAGCGAGCAGCCCGCGCCCGCCGCCCTCCCGCAGCTCCCGGCAGCCCACTCCCACCCCCCGCCACCGCCTGCCCTCCGCCCAGCGCCCAGGCCGGGCCGAGCCGAGCCGGGTCGGACCCGGGCCATGCTGCTCACCGTGTACTGTGTGCGGAGGGACCTCTCCGAGGTGACCTTTTCCCTCCAGGTCGACGCCGACTTCGAGCTGCATAACTTCCGCGCGCTGTGCGAGCTGGAGTCCGGCATCCCCGCCGCCGAGAGCCAGGTACGCCAGGGGCAGCGAGTGGGGCCTCCAGCCGCTGCGGCCGGGGAGTTGGAGGGGGGGCGACTGGGGCCGAGTCCTGCAGCCGCCCGGAGATGCACCCACTGCAGCGAGGGGGACACGTGCACGGGTGGGCACCCCTCGGGTGGGCACCCCTCCCCACCTTCTGGCCCTCGGGAGCCCTGGATCCTCATCACGTACCTCCTGCTTCTCCGACCAGAAATACCAGTTTGGATCACTGGGAGATAGACACTGGTCTGGGGTTTGCTTATTTGTACCGAGTTCCTCCTTCAGTATGCGCAGTTTACCTGGGAACACACATATCTGTAGTTGAAAGTGAGGGGAAAAGTTTGAGACTCGCTCTGCCTCTGCCTTTGACGTCGCTAGAAATGCATGCGTTTCTGGTTAGTTTATTATTATTATTTTTAAAGCGATGGTTAGGTCAACTCAGTCTATTTGCTTCTCAGGCCAAAGCCCTCCTCCTCTCTGGTCCCCGTTCAGTTGGGTCAGTTCAAAAAAGCTCAGTGCTTTCGAAGGATATCGGCTTGAAAATGACCTACTGTCTGAAGACCTCCGTGGGACTTGGTAGCAAGGCGTTCAGTCCCTCTTATGTTTTAACAAGAAAATACATCCTCGAAATGCTTTGGAGCTCTCAGTAGTCTTTGTCAAACAGAATAATAGGTGGACTGCTCTGTAGCCTTTGCACTAAAACTCTTAAGATTCTACCCAAAGTGGGCCTTGTTGGGTGTAGTCCAAACATTAGAAAATTGTAGACGACTCCCAAGGCCTCAGAATGTAAATCTGGATTTCCTTCTGCAGTTATGAAATAGTTCCAGAAACTATTGCCCAACTACTGCTTGTTCTGCCCTGACTTATGGCAAACATGTGTCAATATTTTGTTGAGATGTGTGATTCCTTTGCACAATGTGAACTTAGAACCTTGGCATACAACTGTTTCTGGAAGGATCTGTTTTAGGGAACAAGGTGTCACTCACATATGCAGTCTGGCAAAAGGTAGGGATTATACAGTTCCCCCAATTTCTATTGAAAAATTTACCCACAAAAACCTAGGACTCAGTTCCTGTTGGTCAGCCTCATACTCATGGCAGTAGTGAACTAAGACCAGAGAGATTGTGGGGGGGCCGGGCGGTGGTGGCGCACGCCTTTAATCCCAGCACTTGGGAGGCAGAGGCAGGTGGATCTCTGTGAGTTCAAGACCAGCCTGGTCTACAAGAGCTAGTTCCAGGACAGGCTCTAAAACCACAGAGAAGCCCTGTCTCAAAAAAACAAAAAAAAAAAAAAAAAAAAAAAGAGAGAGAGAGAGAGAGAGATTGTGGGGGGGATATCAGCCTTTTAGAGGGTCAATTGATTGATTGATTTTTGATGGGGGTTTCAAGACGGGGTTTCTCTGTGTTGCCCTGGAAATTGCTCTGTAGATTAGCTGGCCTTGAACTCACAGCCATCCACTGTCCTCTGCTTCCTGAGTGCTGGAATTAAAGGTGTGCGCCACCACCACCTAACGATGGGTTGATTTTTGAGTCAGGGTCTGACTGTATAAATCATTGGCTTCCATCTAAACTCATGCAGATCCCTTCACTCGGTGTCCCAGGCTAGAGCTATCACAACCAGCTGTTTCGTTTTTTTTGAGACGAGGTCTCAACTGAGGGGCCAAGGCTGACCTCAGACAACATTCATCCTGCCCCAGGCTCCTGGACTGCTGGATCACATGCAAGTGTGTACTACCATGCCCAGCCTAGCCTATTCAGTTTTTGAAGTCCCCCCCACATTGTTTTTTTATGTGGCTGTTTGATTACCCAAGTTAAAATTGCAAGCTGATTGGGAATAATTTTAAGTTGAATTTGTTAGTAGGACTTGAGAGTGAACAGAGGTTGACATTGTTTCTTTTCCCATAGTGCCCACATGCACTGTGTGTGTGAGAGAGAGAGAGAGACAGACAGACACACACACAGAGAAGCATTCTACGCCTGGGTTATAGGTGCAGTCCCACGCCTGTGGCACTTAGATGTCAGTAAAAATTTTCAGTAAATTAGGGTATCAGATTGAAAGATAATTGTAGGGTTAAAGAAGGCACTGTCATCTGCCACTTGGGGACTTTAGGGGTGCTACTTGAACAATTAGGCTAGCTCCAAATTCTTCCACTGCTGGCATCAACATTTGGTATTTACTTCCCAACGCAAATTAGTGTGCTCCAACTAGTGTTAAGCCTGTATTAAATAGCTGTAAACAGCGCCCTGTTTTTCAAGTTAGTGCTGTCGGCTCTATGTAACCTGACAACGTAGTGTCTATTTTAAGAGTGGATTTTTAAGCACTCTGGGGGTCGCTTGTCTGGCTTGCTGGCTAGCCCCCACAGGCAGGAACAGGATCCGCCCCAGATACTGAAGTCACTTCCTTTCGTCGGATCTTAAACATATCATTTTTTTGTTTGGTTTGGTTTTTGTTTTATTTTCCCCAGTCATTTCTTATTTGAGCTCCCCAACCAGTTTTTCTAACTTGTCCCTTCCTCTCAGATTTCTTTCCGGCTGTTTACTTCATTGGGATTTAGTGTTTTCCATCCCCATTCCTTCACCTGTTTCTGACTTCATACCACAGGTGTCCAAACATGTATGAATTTTACAGAGCCGCTTGGCTGCCGAGTCACACTTGCACTGAGAATGGGTTTCACTTTAATCACATGTACAGGTGGAGATGGTTTCTGTTCTAAATTTATTGTCCTCATGTAATAATTTGTATCTCCATAAGTAAAGTGGTTCAGATCATGCTCACAGTACCTTGTACATAAATTACAAAGTGGCTGTTTTAGGCACTATACACGTGCATATTTTCTTGTGTGGTACATAGCAGTTACAGCTATGTACACAGTTATATATGTGCATATGCTATACATCAGTTACGTTGTGTACATATATACATTGAGTAATAATGTGCATTATAAACATGCAGAATAGAACTCAAGGATAAAATAAGGGGGGAGTGTTGGCCCATGCTTTTAATGCCAGAACTTGACTTGGGAGGCAGAGGCAGGTGGATCTCTATGAGTTCCAGGCTAATCTACTCTACAGAGCAAGTTCCAGGACATCAAGGACTACACAGAGAAACCCTGTCTCAATCCCCCACCCCTCCAAAAGAATAAACAAGACTACATGGAAATGGGACTGAAGAGACAGTTACCAACTAAGAGCACTTGTTATCCTTACAGGGGTTGATTCCCAGCACCCACACAGTGGCTCACGACCATCTGTAACTCTAGTTCCATGGGATCCAACACCCCCTTCTGACCTCTGTGGGCACTAGACAATACACATAGTACATATACATACACGTAGGCAAAGTACACATACATAAGTCAAAATTAAACAAAAAGTAAATAGAAATAAGAATTCTCAGGCTGTACCTGTACTCACCCAGGGAGCACTGTTTGGAGCCCCACCTTTCATCAGCATCGTCTGTGCTCTGTCTCATTGTAGTAGTTCTGATGCAGTGACAGTAAATTTAGATTAGAAACCGTCTCCACTTGTGCCGTGATTAAAGCAGGACATGTTATTCCGCGATGCAAGTGTGGGCTTGGCAGCCAGGCCGGCTTTGATGCAGACTTGACTGGGCCGACCTCAAACAATTATCAGAACTTACCTTCACGTTAAATGTCTGGGTGGTTTTGAAACTAATTTACTTGTATAGGTGGTGTGGAGTACAAGCCTGTACAGAATGGAAGGCCCCTCAATGAAAGCCATGTTTAAGTGGCAGCTAGCAACCGTAACTGTGACCCTGGAAATGCCACTTTTGTACAGCTTACGTGGTTTACAAAAATGCTATTTTAGACCATGGAAACCGAAAGTTTCTATTGTGGCTAGTTTTGGTGTGTTTATTTCCTTAAGTAATTCATAGTCTTCCCTCGGGGGGGGGGGGCCCACCTCTGGTAAATTCTGAATAATTGTGTTAGAAAGGTTGTAACACAGAAAAGAATAAAGAATGCAGCCACTCGCTTATTCCTCCCCGTAACTTATAACTGCAGTTTGGGTGTTTGGGTGTTTGTTTGGTTAGTTTTTTGTTTGTTAATGTTATTTGAAACTCACAGTTCAAGGCCAGCCTGGTCTTCATTGAGGGTTTCAGTCCAGCCAAGGCTACATGTTGAGAACCTGTCTCAAAAAAAAAAATAGTTCTTGTTGGGATGCTGAGTATGGTGGTTCACACCTTTAATCCTGGCACTTGGGAGATAGGCAGACACGGGGGGATCTGTGAGTTCTAGGATAGCCTGGTCTACACAGGAAGTAGTGAGACCTTGTTTCAAAAAAAAAGTCTATTGGGTTGGGGATAGCTCTGGTAGAGTGCTTGCCTACTGCACATTGCCAGCACTGTAGGAAAGAAAGAAGTGACAGCCCACCCACCCCGTTAATTGAAGGCTCTCTTTCAGAGACCAGAAAACATTTGGTGTCATGCTTAAAGGTTCTCGAGTTGTATTTTTGAGCTTGTAGCTAGGTGTTAAGGTCGGAATCTTGTCTGAAAGTTGGATTCTAACACTCCCTGGGTGTGAACACTAGCTGCTGCATCAGGTCTGCAGATTTACACCTAAAAGTGTAGACTTCTGTTGTACCCTCTTCTGACTGGCAGGGCAGGGCTCGGGCTCAGGTTTTCTACACTAGATTCTGAGGTGGGGGACAGATGTGGTAGAGCACTGTGCTCGTGCCATTGCCAGCTTGCCTTTTGTTTGGCTGGTGGGGAGACTAGAAGTTGTTGATCATATTGAGTTGGGAGGTGAAATGGGTTTGTTTGTTTGTTGGACCACGTGTCCTCTTGCCTCTGCTTCCCAAGTGCTGGGATTACAGACTGTACCATCATGCCTGGCCTGTACAGGGTGATTTACTTAAGGACTTTTTTAAAAAATATTTATTTATTTATTTGTTATGTATACAATATTCTATCTGTGTGTATGCCTGCAGGCCAGAAGAGGACACCAGACCTTATTACAGATGGTTGTGAGCCACCATGTGGTTGTAGGAATTGAACTCAGGACCTTTGGAAGAGCAAGCAATGCTCTTAACCAATGAGCCATCTCTCCAGCCCCTTAAAGACTTAAAATGTAAAATAATCACATTTCTTAGACTTTTTTTAAAAATTTTTTTTGTTTTGTTTTCGAGATAGGGTTTCTCTGTGGTTTTGGAGCCTGTCCTGGAACTAGCTCTTGTAGACCAGGCTGGTCTCGAACTCGCAGAGATCCGCCTGCCTCTGCCTCCCAAGTGCTGGGATTAAAAGGCGTGTGCCACCACCGCCCGGCCTCTTACACTTTTTTGAGCTAGGGCTTCAATAGCTCAGGCTGCCCTTAGTCCCAGCCTTCCTTCTTTATCCTTGTAGGTCCTAGGGTTACAGTCTTCATGTCCTAGTTAAACCTGCTGGATTTCATTCTTGTGGATATTTGCTTTCTACCCAGTGTGGTGGCTAATTTTGTTAGCACAACTGAATTAGGCTTCCTGGGGGAATTAGTGAATTATATCTCCAAATGTGTCTATGGTGGCGTTTTTCAGAGACAGTTTCATCCTGGGGCTCTGGCCTAACCTGTGGATGCTTTGATGAATTTGTAATATGGAATTATTGGGAAGTGGTAAAAGGTAGTGGGGTCTAGTTGAAGGAGGAAGGTCATTGGAAGCATATTCTTAGGACATATCTTCCTTTGTCCTCTTTTCTGCTTTGAAATCAGGGCCAAACAAATAGACGTCAATGCCCAAGTAACAAACCCACCCATTTTTGAGGAAATGGAGTCAGAGATTCCATAACTTGCATGCATTATATGTGCCTGGTGTCAGTAACTGTTAGAGCTTGAGTCATATCGCCGTCCCTTTCTTCTCTCTCTCCCTCTCACCCTCCCCCCCTCTCTTAGATTGTTTTTTTTTTTCGAAACAGGGTTTCTCTGTGGTTTTAGAGCCTGTACTGGAACTAGCTCTTGTAGACCAGGCTGATCTCGAACTCACAGAGATCCGCCTGCCTCTGCCTCCCAAGTGCTGGGATTAAAGGCGTGCGCCACCACCGCCCGGCTTAGATTGTTTTTGAGATAGGATTTTTCAACATAACTCGAGCTGTCCTGTAATTTTGTGTAGAACAGGCTAGCCTCAAACTCAGAAAGGTACAGAGATCTGCCTGTCTCTGCCTCCCCAGGCTGGAGTTACCACCTCTTTTGGCTTCTGTTGCCATCCTTTTAAGAATCAGAAACTGGGGCTGGAGAGATGGCTCAGTGGTTAAGGTGCACTGGCTACTCTTGCAGAGGGCTGGGTTCAGTTCTTAGGACCCACATGATGGCTCACACATATTTATGATTCTAGTTTTAGAGAATCAGACACTCCTGGCCTCTGGGCACCAGCCATGCAAGCAGTAGACTTAGGCACATGAAAGTTAAATGCTCATACTCATAAAAAAAAAATCAAAAATGAAAAAAAAAAGGCCAATTAAGAAGACGCTAGACATTGTAGTATTTTCCTGTCCTTTGCAGACATCCCCCAACCCCAGAATTTCTTGGTGTTTTGAATAAGGACAGTTATGTGTGTATCCCGTACCCCATACTCAGACTTGAACCCAGGGGCTTCACATAAGCAGTCAGGCACTGCCAGTAGAGGTTTAGATCCTTAGCAGGGAAGGCTGGCTTAGAAGCCATTTCCCAAGGCTACTTTGGGGTGCTAGAAAAGAATGCCATTTTTAATGTCAAGCACATAGAGCACCCGCGTCATGTCTCTTAACAGCTGTGTGGTCTCTGTGTCTTCTGATCCATAAAATTGGACGAATGATCTCTGTTAAAATGATTGTGACACTCCGTGAGACAGTGTGAGAATTAAGAGGGAGAATGGGAACTGGACTTGTTAGCCCAAGAGAGTTTCACTCAGTGGTAGCAGGGTGCTCTTCAAGTTTGGGTTTCGATATTATGCCCCATTGGAAGAGAATTCAGTAGTCTTATGCTGAGCTTTTCCATGCCAGACAGATGCTCTCCTACTGAACCAAGCCTTATTCCCTAAACTGTTCTCATCTTCCTGAGTTTGGTTCTTTATACATGAACACATTTTCTAGTAAGTGTGTCTTCCTTGGGAGACGAGTCATGTGTCTTTAAATACCTTGCAGCTGACTCACTGAACCTGGACGCTAGGGTAGGCAGGCCATGGGCTATTTATTGGTGATCTCATCACAGTGGCTTAATTGTGTTGATACCACCCAGTACGTCTCAACCTGTGACCCAGGTTTATGGTTGTTTTCCACTCACCCCCACAAATTATATGCGGTACAGTTCTCCATTGTATTACCAAAAAGAAAGAAGAATCAGTTTGAGATACGCACTTAGATCAGTGTCATGACGAGGTGGTAGTGATGGTTGCAGTCATTTTTAGTAGTGTATAAAACTTGTAAAATTGGTTGGGCCATGGTGGCACACACCTTTAATCCCAACACTCAGGACGCAGAGTCAGAGACAGGTGGATCTCTGTGAGTTCGAGCCCATCCTGGTCTACAAGAGTTAGTTCCAGGCCAGGCTCCAAAGCTACAGAGAAACCCTGTCTTGAGAAACAAAACAAACAAACAAAAAAGCATGTAAAATTGGACAGGCAAGTTCTGCTTTCTTGTCTCCAGAAGGATTCCATTTTGGAGGATTAGGTTTTTTTGCCCATATCACCATGAGATTAGGAGGAGAATGGCAGCATATGCTCAGGATGGCTGGTGTAAATGATGTTTGCTGTTCTGTGCCCAGGAGCTTTGCCAAGAGCGTATGTGGACAGGCGCAGAAAGGCTGTGGTAGACAAATTGCCTAGTAGGTACAAGGCCCTGGGTTCAGCCCCCAGCACGGAAAAAGAACTGGAAGGAATATCTGCTATGATCAGTCCTGGTGGCCTGCTGGACACAGGACGTTTAACTCCTGGCCCACCTAGTGACAGGCCCCTCCTAGAGTTCCTGGCTGAGTTAGTAACCAGCTCAGGTTGCTCAGTTTGTTTGTGGCCCAGAACAGGGCAAACGCTTAGGGAGCAAGATGTGCCAAGTGTGCCACAGCGTGTCCCATGGAGTACATGAGAACGTAGGGACAGTGTTTCCATCCTCACTCCTATGTGTGCCGTTCTTTCTCACAGTATATTCTGCTTCTGTGTTGGACCCATTGAAAGTATTTCTGTTAATAGGACTTAGCTCAGCATGTTTTTCTTGCATGTTAGTTTTCTCTCATAAACATGAGAGCAGTAAAACTTGGAGGCTGGTAGAAGAAAGGCCTGCTAGCGTGTAGACTCCCTGCTGACTGTACTCTGTAATCCCGGCAGTTACTGTAGTCACACAATTCTCTTTCATCCTGAATTTCTTTTCTGTTTTTGTCTTGTTTTGTTTTTTGTTTTCAAGATAGGGTTTCTCTGTAAAATAGCCTTGGCTGTCCTGAAACTTGCTTTGTGGACCAGGCTGGCCTTGAACTCAGAGATCCACCTGCCTCTGCCTCCCATTTGGTGGGACTAAAGGTCTGTGCCACCATTCCTGGCTCTGAATTTCTTTTCTTTCTCCCTCCCTTCATTTCTTTAATGATTTGTTTTTTATTTTATGTACATTGGTATTTTGCCTGCATGTATGTCTGTGTGGGTGTCAGATCTTAGAGTTACAGACAGTTGTAGAGCTGTCATGTGGGTGCTGGGAATTGAACCCAGGTTCTCTAGAAGAGCAGTCAGTGTTCTTAACCATTGAGCCATCTCTTTCTCAGATTTTTATTTTTTTTTATTTTTTTTATTTTTTTTTTGTTTTTTCGAGACAGGGTTTCTCTGTGGCTTTGGAGCCTGTCCTGGAACTAGCTCTTGTAGACCAGGCTGGTCTCGAACTCACAGAGATCCGCCTGCCTCTGCCTCCCGAGTGCTGGGATTAAAGGCGTGCGCCACCACCACCCGGCTTTCTCAGATTTTTAAACTTTGTTTTGTTTTTTAAACTTTATTTCCTATTTTGAGAACTTGATCCTTGAGTACTGTGCTTACATCATTCTCACACACACCCCGTTCATGACTTGTTTTGTGATTATTGTTTTTACATATATAATGGGTTTAGTTTTGTGGTTTTTTTCTAGACACTATCTCACTGTATCCCTGGCTGACCTGGTACTCGAGGTAGTTTTTTGCCTTGGCCTCCTAGTGTTGGAGTTACAGGCATGTGCTACCACGCCTAGATAGCTAAAAGTGTGCATTATTTGCCTTGTAGCAGACATAGCCAGAATATGTCATCCCTTCTTCCCTGGTTGCTCAGAATGGAAGCTAAATTCCCTGCTATATGAATCAGCCCATCCTTTACTTGAGTAGACTTCTGGGCAGTCATTATATACCAGGCTTTGTCCTAAGCTGATGGGCAGCTGAACAAAATCATTGTTCCACATAGTGTACATTGTAGTTGACCAGATCGACGTGTAGCATATTAGTGAGGAAAGTAGTCTATTTCAAAATACATTGTGTTGTTCGGGATAGAACCCAGGGCCTTGTGGGTGTGAGAGAAATGCTGTGTCATTGAGCTCCACCCATAGCCCATGTCCAGGGTTCACTTTAAATGTGGCTTTAGGGAAGAGCACTGAAATAATGTTTGATCAGAAACCTAAACCAAGTGACAGGAGGAAGAATAATGGCCCTCAGGTAGAGAAAGAAACAGAGAGCATGAGGGGAAGGTAGTGTGCCTCATTGGGACAGCAGTGGGATGACGTCAGAAGCGGCCATCAGCCAAATCCTTTGGGCCAAGTAGGAGACAGGCAGGGCTTTGGGTTTCTTTCTAGGCTTAATGGGAACACATGGAAGGGTCTTGAGCAGGGAACATGATGAAGATGAAGAAAGTGGTACCATGTTGCTTCTCCACACTTTATACCACTGGTTCTTCCCTTGCAGATTGTCTATGCAGAAAGACCTCTCACTGACAACCACAGATCCCTGGCTTCTTACGGCTTGAAAGATGGCGATGTTGTGATTTTACGGCAGAAGGAGAATGCAGACCCTCGCCCTCCAGTGCAGTTCTCAAGTAAGACCAAAGCTCATCACCTTCTAATACAGTGTCAGACTTAGGGGGTGTAGGCCGCCTGCCTGCTGTATAACCTTGGGTAGGTCATTGGGTTTCTAAATCAGTCATCTCTTTAGCAAGGTAGGTATCATAATTGACCCAGCTTTACCTTATCAAGAGATGAAATGCAGGCTTAAATGATGTCATCACAGTCACGTAGCTAGTAAGTAAAAAGTGATTGAAATGGTGCTTTTTCTGCTGCTCCAAACCTGGCAGATTTAAGTGCTTGGAACATCAGGTTTGGATGCCTCCCTGACACTGCTATTAGTCTTGATGTGCCATTCGGAATGGGGAATTTTCTCCCCTTTGTAAATGTTTTTGTGGGGTTTTTTTTGTTTGTTTGTTTGTTTATTATTTTTCCAAGTCAAAGTTTTTCTGTGTAACAGCCCTGGCTGTCCTGGAACTCACTCTGTAGACCAGGCTGGCCTTGAACTTACAGAGATCCGCCTGCCTCTGCCTCCCCAATGCTGAGAATAAAGACTCGCACAGCTGCCACCCTGCCATAAAGAATTTTTTTGGGGTGGGGAAGGGATTGGTTTTTCGAGACAGGATTTCTCTGTAGCTTATGAACCTGTCCTTGAACTCTGTAGAGTAGATCCACCTGTCTCTGTAGCTGAGTGCTGGGATTAAAGGCGTGCGCAACCACTGCCTGGCTTTTTTTTTTTTTTTTTTAATATTTATTTATTTATTATGTATACAATATTCTGTCTGTGTGTATGTCTACAGGCCAGAAGAGGGCACCAGACCTCATTACAGATGGTTGTGAGCCACCATGTGGTTGCTGGGAATTGAACTCAGGACCTTTGGAAGAGCAGGCAATGCTCTTAACCACTGAGCCATCTCTCGAGCCCCACTGCCTGGCTTTAATGATATATTTTTATATGTATGTATGGGTATTTTACCTCTTTGTGTGTATGCTATTGCATGCAGTTCCTATAGAGGCCAGAGGAGGATGTCAGATCTTCTGGAACTGAGTTTACTATTTTTAATTTTGTGTGCGTGTGTGTGTGTGTGTGGGGGGGGTGTTGTACACCTGAATACAGATGCCCACAGAGATTAGAGGCATTAGAGCCCCCAGAATTGTAATTTAGGTACCTTACATGTGTGCTTGGAGCCATCAAAAATCTCTTAACCACTGAACTATGGCTCCAGACCCCACGGCTTTTTGTTTTGTTTCAAATCCAGAACAGCCATGGAACTTTCTGTGTGACCCAGGCTGGCCTCTAGACTCCTGAGGGCTGAAATTACAGGCATGCACCCACACATCCAGCCAGCTTGGTGTTCATAGTCTGGAGCCTGCATTTAGGTTTCTGTGTCTAGAATATGCAGGACTGTGTGGGAGTGGGCACATGTGTGCTTGATGCTGAGAGGGCCTGTAGCTTCCTTCAGCTGCTCTCATGACGCAGCTCCCAAGCCCTGATGTGGGCTATGTGATGAAATGTGACTTCTTTTCCCTGCTGCCTGCCATATTTTGCTGAAAATCTTCAGATAGTATTTAGCCTCCAGGTCTCCTGCCTTTAAAGAGTGTGGTACTGGATTGACAGGTATGTTGGGTGTCAGCAGACTGCAGCCTGGAGCACACTGCTTCATTCAGGCTCCTAGACGTCTTCAGGCACTCCCTGTACCAGTTCCGGATTTCACTCCGTCCCTTGGGCTCCTCCTGCTTTAGGAAGAATAGCATTTGGAGTTTGCTCATCGGTAAAAACCCGATCTTCGCTTGGGTACTTTGTGAGGTGGTCGGTACTAGAGAGTTGCTGTAGTAGTTTTGTTTGTATGTTTTATTTTTTCTTCACTGTTGGTATATGGACAACATCGGAGTTAGGTTGCTATGAGGGGAGGGTATGCATGGAGATCTGGGTTATGAAGTGGACAAGGTTTTCAGAGTTCTGAAGTGAATCGACTGGCAAGTGGAGATAAGTTTCTTCAGCAGATGTGACCCCACCCATGTGATTTGGTGGTTGGTGAGGACAGCAGCTCCCCAGGGAGTCTGCCATTCCCTCACCTTTTCATTGCTTAAATGTTTTGTCCCACGTGACTCTTTTCAACACACACACTGACTGACAACTGGCCTCTGTTTTAAGACAGTGACTAATTGAGCCCACATGTGAGGCTAAAACCTTATACGTGAGTTTAAGCTTTCCCTTTTTGTAGTTGATACACAAAGGGCTTCAGGATAGTCCAGACTCTGGACAAGGCTGGTCATTAAATAAGTTTTAGGGTTGAACATAATGTGAATTTTTTTTTTTTAGGGCCATTGTCTCATTTTGGCTCTAGTTTGTTTTAGTTTGCCTCTTTTTTGGAGACAGGCTTGCCTCAAGCTCCCAGTCCTCTTGTCTCCGCCTCTAGCATGCTGGGGTTACAGGCATAAGCCACCATAGCTGTCACCTTTCTTTTACTAAGCAGAGTTATTGAAATAAAGTCCACACAACCATGATTCCCCCTTTTAAAGGATACAGTTCAGTGGCTGTGATTATTCACAGAACTGTATAGCTCTACTCTCTGTTCAGCTCATTCATCATCTGAATCCTAGTAGTGATTCAGTGGTTTCCCTTACACACCAAAAGTGTGCTTCCTGTCCTTGTGCACTGTTCTGGTTCATGGCAACAGAGTCCGACATTGTGTGGGCTCCTGTGTGAAGATGAAGCTCTAGAACAGTCTAGAACCTGGGATGAAAAACTCCTCTTCATTTCTTCAGTCCTGTAAAACAATTATGCCCACTTACTTCCCAGGACCTTGTTTGTCTGGGATGCACAGATGAAATTGTAAATTCAAAGAGGTACAGAGAACCTCCTCAGATTTCCTCAGGCAGTGCTTAGATGTTCAGAATTTGACATGAAATGTTTGTGCTGTTCACTTGATCCATACAGTTTTCTTTACTCCAAGTGTCCAGACTTTTCAACAGAGTAGCATGTCAGGGGCTGGAGAGATGGCTTTGAGGTCAAGACCACTGGCTGCTCTTCCAGGTACCTAGGTTCAATCCCAGTACCAACATGGCAGCTGGCAACTGTCTGTAATTCTAATTCTAGGATCTAGAGTAAATATATGCACCACATGTGTCCCTGCACAGGACTGCAGAGGAGGACGTCATAGCTCTTGAAATGGAGTTAGGCATGGTCGAGAGCCACCATGTGGGTGCTGGGAATTGAACTCAGGACCTCTGGAAGAACAGCCAGTGCTCTTAACCACTGACTGAGGTGTCTCTTCAACCCTGGGCGGTGGCGGGGAAGAGACAGAAATCTTTAATAAATAAATAAACTAAAAAATTAAAAAAAATAAAATATATTACAGATTCAAAAAAAAGAACCTTATGTATGTTGCGGGAGGTCCTCCCACTCCTCCAGCCTATCACCGCTGAGGTACCAGCCCACTGGGGCGTGGTTTCTCTCCCTTTAAAAAAGCGGCCACTTCCCCCTCCTCTCGCTCTTCACTTCCTGCTCCGCCTGCGACTAGACTCCTTTCCTGGTTGCGAAGAGGGCTGTTGCCTGGGACAGTGATCTGTAAGTTTTTTCCCCTTTAAATAAATACCACCCTAATAATCATAACCCCGAATTGGTGTGGCATTGTTTGTGACTTACGCCTTCATATGTAGAAGCCGGCTGGTGGTGGCGCATGCCTTTAATCCCAGCACTCGGGAGGCAGAGGCAGGTGGATCTCTGTGAGTTTGAGGCCAGCCTGGTCTACAAGAGCTAGTTCCAGGACAGGAACCAAAAGCTATGGAGAAACCATGTGTGTGCCTGACCTCGTGGGCGTCAGAAGAGGATGTAGGCTGTTCCTAGGACCCAAGTTGCAGGTCATCTTGACCCACCATGTGGGTGCTGGAAACTGAACCGTGGTCTTCTGCACCTCTGAGTGGTCTCCCCAGTGAGCCCTTCCCCTCTCATATTTTTCCCTACTAATTTACTCTCGCAGCACCATCTTGGAGGAAGGGCAAGGGGAAAGACAGAGCGTTTACAGTTACCACTTGCTGCTGTTGTCAATGACGAATGCCTCTTTTGTTGTTTCCTTCAACACTTGTTTTTATGGCATGCATCATTTGAGTAAACTTGATTGATTGATCTCAACAGACTTGCCCCGGATTGACTTCAGTAGTATAGCTGTGCCTGGTACATCAAACCCCCAACAGCGCCAGCTGCCTAGAGCGCAGGCTCAGCACTCATCTCCTGGGGAAACAGCATCATCTCCTCAAGGCTTAGACAATCCAGCCCTGCTCCGAGACATGCTGCTGGCCAACCCGCACGAGCTGTCCTTACTGAAGGAGCGTAACCCACCCCTGGCAGAAGCTCTACTCAGTGGAGATCTTGGTAAGCGCCCTCGTGTGTCAATAGTTGTGCCAGACAGATGTGTAAGGCAGCTGTCTGAGTCCATTGGCTGTCTGCTGTGAGTCTTGAGCAGGCCACTTGTTGATGAGAGGTGATTAATGTAATCTCAAACTGGGGTAATTGGCAATGTTTGTATTTAATTGAAATCATCTTGATCCTTAGGGCAGTCTCTTTTTTTAAAAATTGATTTATTATATATAGTGTTCTGACTGCATGTATGCCTGCAAGCCAGAAGAGAGCACTAGATTTTATTGCAGATGGTTATGAGCCACCATGTGGTTGCTGGGAGTTGAAATCAGGACCTTTAGGAAGAGCAAGCAGTGCTCTTAACCACAAAGCTGTCTCCAGCCCCCTAGGGCAGTCTCTTTGTCCACCAGAGCCTCTGCCTCCATAGTGTTGTGATTAAAGATGTGTGCTACTATGCCCAGCTTCTTCTTCTTTCTTTGTTTTTCAAGACAGGGTTTCTCTGTGTAGCTTTGGAGCCTGTCCTGGAACTCACTCTGTAGACCAGGCTGGCCTTGAACTCAGAGATGCACCTGCCTCTGCCTCCCCCCCAGGGCCAGCCTGTTCTATAGAGCAAGTTCCAGGGCTACACAAAAAAGACAATGTGTTGGGGGAAAAAAAGTTTGTTTGTTTTTTAAATTATATTTATATGGCCACAGCTGGCATATGGATGTCAAGGACAGCCTTGGTTGTCGGTCCTCATCTTCCATCTTGTTTTTGAGAGCAGGGTCTCTGCTGTTTGTCACTGCACTGTATACAATAGGCTAGCTGGTCTGTGAGCTTCTGGGGGATTTTGTCACCATAGGAAGCCCTGGCATGTGGATTGTATAAGTGCACTAGCTTTTTTTTTTTTTTTAAATATTTATTTATTATGTATACAATATTCTGTCTTTATGTATGCCTGCAGCCCAGAAGAGGGCACTAGTCTCCATTACAGATGGTTGTGAGCCACCATGTGGTTGCTGGGAACTGAACTCAGGACCTTTGGAAGAGCAGGCAGTGCTCTTAACCTCTGAGCCATCTCTCCAGCTCCAGTGTACCAGCTTTTATGTGGGTTCTGGGAGTCTGAACTCAGGTTTCATCTTGAATAGGTGTCTCAGCACACACCACAGCCGTAGTAGAAGGCAGTTCTCAAGAGCTGGTTCTCCTGCCCTCTTCGGGGAGACAGGGATTAAATTCAGATAACCAGACTGGTCCACAAACTTCTGCCACACCTGGCTTGTTTTTAGTCTTTTTAAAGTGGGATTTCATATGTTGACCTGGGGGAAAGCTCAGATATCATCCTTAAGAATATGATCCACCGGGGCTGGAGAGATGGCTCAGTGGTTAAGAGCATTGCCTGCTCTTCCAGAGGTCCTGAGTTCAATTCCCAGCAACCACATGGTGGCTCACAACCATCTGTAATGGGGTCTGGTGCTCTCTTCTGTCCTGCAGGCAGACACAAAGACAGAATATTGTATACATAATAAATAAATAAAAATATTAAAAAAAAAAAAAAGAATATGATCCACCGCCGGGCGATGGTGGCGCACGCCTTTAATCCCAGTACTCGGGAGGGAGGCAGAGGTAGGCGGATCTCTGTGAGTTCGAGACCAACCTGGTCTAGAGAGCTAGTTCCAGGACAGGCTCCAATGCCACAGAGAAACCCTGTCTCGAAAAAACCAAAAAAAAAAAAAAAAAGAATATGATCCACCTTGTGTGCAGCAGGGTCTCTCCTTGGCTTTTCAGCAGGTGGACCAGGGCCTCAGAGAGCCTCTTGTCTCTGCTCAGGCACTGGGACACAAGTGCACACCATCATTTCCTGCAGTTTTGTGTGGGTTCTGGGTCCTCATGTTTATAAGTTGAGCACATTTTCAGCTAGAAAGTTCCACTATGTCCCTTTTACTCACTTTCCTCTTGAATAGGCTGGCACAGTTCTGATATTTGATTTGTTTTGTCTGTTTTCAAACTTAATGTATTTGGAATTATAGAGTACACTCTTTGAGTTTTTTTTTCTTTATTTATTTTTGGTTTTTCAGGATAGGGTTTCTCTATGTAGTTCTGGCTGTCCTGGAGCTTTCTCTGCACACCAGGCTGGCTTTGAATTCACAGAGATAGCATGCTTCTGCTTTCTGAATGCAGGTATTAAAAGCTTGTACCGCCACTGATAAAATGAAATAAAAAACATTTTTTAAAATAAAAAGTAGCTGGGTAGTGGTGCTGCACACCTTTATCCCAGTCTTGGGGAGGCAGAGGCAGGCAGATCTCTGAGTTTAAGGTCAGTCAGGTCTATAGAGTGAGTTCCAGGACAGCCAGAGAAACTCTGTCTTGTAAAAACCAGAAGAAAGAAAGAAAATGTAGAGCTGAATATGTTCCTCCCTTATTTTTGTAGAGAAATTTTCTAGGGTCCTGATAGAGCAGCAGCAGGACCGAGCTCGGAGAGAACAAGAAAGAATTCGTCTGTTTTCTGCTGACCCCTTTGATCTTGAAGCTCAGGCAAAGATAGAAGAAGATATAAGGTAAGATCCATCTACCTAATGAGCAAGCTCACAGCATCCAGGTCATCAGCATTAACTAGACGTCTGCTTGCAGGCAACTTCCCCATCTCCAGGTTGAGATAATAACCTCAGTCTGTCCAGGTAACTCTCTCCTTCATAGTCCTCACATTTTGATCCAGCATTTGAAAGTGCTCTCAAATTTTGTGAGCACTTCCTGATTAGCAGACAAAACAGCATCGTTAAAGCAAGGTAGTTGACCCCAGGATGATGAAGAGAAACCCCGTCTGCTGAGATCAGTAGACTTGCTCTGAAGGCTGATTTCAATCCTCATTAAGTCAGATCTTGAAGGCGGTTGGATTGGAGAGCTCTGCACATGTGGAGTCTTGTAGTCTTCTTTCAACTGCCCCTTGCTGGCTCCCTGCCTGACACTCTGCCAACCTCGTGTCTGTTGTAGCGGCTCTCTGCTGGGGCTGTATTAAAGCATGCAGTAAGCTTTTCAGATTGCAGATGCTTGAGCCTTCTCTCTATTCTGATGAGTCAGGATCTTCAGGAAAGGAGCCCAGGCAGGTACAGAGATGCTAAAGGCTAGTCACAAGCTAGATGCTGTCTGAATAAAATGGCCATCTGCTCCCCAAACCCAATTCAATTTTTGTTGCTAATTGTGAAAATCCTCCTGTAACTAAGAGAAACAAATCTAATGATACTCCTGTTACACTGAATAGCAGGGTGGGAGCTGTAGTTACCCGACTTGCTTGCTTTATTATACTCATAGGCTCTCCCCACCCTTTGCCTACACTGGGCCCTCACGTATTTGTACTCGATAGACTAGTCCTTTATTACCAGACTGCATCTAGGACACTCTGACTATTCTCGAAATTGAAGAAATAAATCATATTTAGAACTAATTGACAGCCCTAAGCTATTTGCTCATGTTCTGTCGGTTAAGTGTTCTCTTTACATGTATCAGATAATGGTGATTTTTTTTCCCCCTCTCTTAAACAGTTAGATAAGTATTCTGCCACTGAGTCACATCCTCATCTCTGCTTTTACTCTTTATTTTGAGACCCAATCTCACTAAGTTGACAAACCGGCCTTAAATTTAACGTCCTGCCTCGGCTTCTCCACTAGCTGGGAGGCCTGTGCAGCTGTACTTTAATCAGATGTTAGTGAGTGTCCGTGGACATAGCTTGACTAGCTGAGTCAGCCCAGAGAAATAAACCATTTATGTTCTCAGATTGCGGCTCTAAGGGAGTCTGACATTGATTTCAGGCGTAGTTGGATTTATCCTAGGAAACCGGGGTGGTAAGGCGCCATAGACAAACCGTGGAAGTGGAGTGTATTGAATTGAAACAGGTTGTTTCCTACAGGGGTGGGGTAAAGGAAACTGGGTGATGTAAGGAAAGAAGATTACCCGATTACCCAGAGTGCCCTAGCTGGCCTGACACTGCTGTGCATCTGGGGCTGCCCTGAAACTCTTTGTATTTGTTTGACTCAGTTGGCTGGTTCATTGAATTGTGTTGTTTTGAGAAAAAGTCTTACTATGTAGCCCTGGCTAGCCTTGAGCTCAGGTCTGCCTGCTTCTGTGTGTTCTGTGTGTGTGAGCTGCACTCACTTTATTCATTCATTCATTTATTTGAGGCGGCTTCTCTTGCTGAACCTGGAGCTCACAGATTTGGGTAGGTTTACTGGCTGGCCAGTGAGCTCCAGGGACCCTCGTGTCTACCTCCCCACCTCTGAGATTGTAAGTAGATATTGCCAGATCTCCTCATGTTTGAATGGTAAACATATTGCAACTGAGCCATCTCCCTAGCCCCTCATATTCTTTTTCTTTTTTCTCCTGAAACTTAACTTGGATTAGAGCAACATCAGGGGTTATATAATTATTTGTATGTAATTTCTAAATTTATAATGTGCCAGTGGATAAAGGTATATAATTATATCAAATGTGCCTTAAAATTTCTGCTTGGCGCATGACACCATTATATATGACACATTATATTGTACAGCAAGTGTAGTAAGTAGCTTCCCTGTTTGCCAGACTGAATTAAACAAGAGTGCCTGGGCTTGCTGAGAAGTGTTACCATCAGTTCAGTGAGCCAGAGTGTGAAGGAAAGCGCAGGCAATGGCATTCAGAGCATGGGTCCAGCAGACTTTCCATAAAGCTAGGTAGTTAGCTGTTTTTAGGTTTTGCAGAGGCCATGTGATCTATTTCAGCTCTGTGCCTGCCACGTGAATAAGCAGTGACAGTGGACAGCATGTTAGTTACTTATCTACTTGCTGTGACAAGCAACTTAAGGCAAGGAGAGTTTATTAATTATTTATTCTGTTTAAGGCTGTAGTCCATGGTGGCAGGAACATGTCTCCTTTTTTATTCAGTCTTGGACCCCAGCCTGTGAAATGGTGATGCCCACATTCAGGGCTTCCTCAGAAGCACCCTCCGTGACAAATCTAGACTGGCATTTCTGTGCTGATTTTAAATACAATGTAGCTGGGGCTGGAGAGATGGCTCAGTGGTTAAGAGCATTGCCTGCTCTTCCAAAGGTCCTGAGTTCAATTCCCGGCAACCACATGGTGGCTCACAACCATCTGTAATGAGGTCTGGTGCCCTCTTCTGGCCTGCAGGCATACAAGCAAAACAGAATAATGTATACCTAATAAATAAATAAATATTTAAAAAATAAATAAATAAAATACAATGTAGCTGATAACTGGGTTTAACATCAGATGGTATGTAGACAGTGCCTCCATGTTCTTTTTTTTGTTTGGTTTTTTTTTTTTTTTTTTTTTTTTGGTTTTTCGAGACAGGGTTTCTCTGTGGCTTTGGAGCCTGTCCTGGAACTAGCTCTTGTAGACCAGGCTGGTCTCGAACTCACAGAGATCCGCCTGCCTCTGCCTCCCGAGTGCTGGGATTAAAGGCGTGCGCCACAATCGCCCGGCTCTCCATGTTCTTATGACATGTGCAAATGTATTGGAATGTGGTCTTAGCAGTTCTTAGTTCAAACTTTACCTTAAATTGTAGACTGAGTTCACTATTTCCAGTCTAAAGGTATACTGTCTAGCCAGTCAGTGTGTGTATCTCAGGCTGGTCTTAAATGTAGCCAAGGGTGACCATAAAGTTCTGATCCTCCTGCCTTCAGTTCTCAGATGCTGGAAGTGCAGGTGTGCACCACCACACCTGGGGTATATGATTCTGGGCCCCTGCTTTCGTGCATCCAACTAAGCTACTTTTCCAGATAGATGCAACATTTGAAGCTCTGCTCTTGACTTGCTTAGCACCATAAGCTAAATTCTGTAAGGCTGTTCATCAACATTGTAATGGGAAGGAATTGTGGGTTTTTTGTTTTTTTCATATTTCAGATTAGAAAAGCCAGTTGTGGAGATGAAGCAGCCTGCGCAGCAGACAGGTGGAATACATGTGATTCTGGTTTCAGACTAGTAAGACTGATGCACCGGGATGATACTCAAATGCTCAGGACATCCTCAGTTAAAACAGGAGTACACGGGATTGGAGAGATGCTCAGAGACCAAGAGCACTGGATGCTCTTCCAGACTTCCTGAGTTCAATTCCCAGCAACCACATGGTGGCTTGCAGCCATCTATAATGAGATTGGTGCCCTCTTCTGGCAAGCATGCACGCAGGCGGAATGCTGTGTACATAATAAATTTTTTTTTTTTTTAAAGGAGCATAGGACTGGCATAGCGACACATTCCTTTATTACCAGTCCTTGGAAGGCAGGGTGGTGGTCAGGGCTACACAGCGAAACCCTGTTTCAAAAAGATCCAAACCGGGGCTGGAGAGATGGCTCAGAGGTTAAGAGCATTGCCTGCTCTTCCAAAGGTCCTGAGTTCAATTCCCAGTAACCACATGGTGGCTCACAACCATCTGTAATGGGGTCTGGTGCCCTCTTCTGACCTGCAGGCATACAGACAGAACATTGTATACATAATAAATAAATAAATATTAAAAAAAAAAAAGATCCAAACCAAACTAACAAAAAACCAAAAATATAAGAACATGGTACACACATATAACCCCAACTCTGGAGAGGCGGAGATGAGAGGGTCACAAGTTCAAGTCCAACCTGGGCTATGTAGTAAAAACCTGTTGTAAGTATTATTCATGAAATATCAATTTCAGTGTTTGGTAAGATCGAAAGGGCCTGGGGCCTTGCTTTCTAGGAGTTTATTTTTCCATCTGTGAGCTTTTAGGGGAACATGATCATTTTATAGGAGGATAGTTTTTATTCCTGACTTAGGTCTTCTGCCAGCTCTGTCTCTCATCACCTCCTGTTGAGTCACCTGTGGGGAACACAGAACCAATTTCCATTCAGTGACTCAGCTGCTCCAGTTAGGGCAGAACCGTTTACAAGTGTGTTTGTGGTGTTCTTTCCGGAAATGGAGTTTTCAGTGTGCTGCTCTGGCTTGTCACAGGCAGCAGAACATCGAGGAGAACATGACGATAGCTATGGAGGAGGCCCCGGAGAGCTTCGGCCAGGTCGCCATGCTCTACATCAACTGCAGAGTGAACGGGCACCCTGTGAAAGCCTTCGTCGACTCAGGTGAGGATGGAGCAGAGGCGCTGCTCCTGTGCTCTGCTTGCTGGTGCCTTGAAGTTACATTTTCACTCTTCAGTCTTTGTGTTAGTGATAGATTTCTTTTCCCAGTCATTTCTCACCTGATTTTGTGTTTCTGTGCCTCAACTGGTAGTAAGGGCCTGGGGGTGTTTCTAGGTTCTCGTCCACGTAACCAGAGAACTGAAAAATAGAGACTCAAACAGGGAGACAAAGTTGAGATTGACTGGGGGCAGGAGTGGGATCAGCAGTTAAGTTAGTGTTGCTCTTGGAGATCACATAGCTCACGAACACCCATAACTCCACCCTCTTCTGGCTTCCTGGCCATCTGTACTCACTCTGGAACCCCCTCACACACATATACATGTAATTAAAATAGAATAAAATCTTAAAAAGGAAAAGGTTGACAGGTTAACCTTGGGCCAGATGGGTAACAGTTGGTATTTAGGACCCCAGTTATTTGCAGCTGCTTTTTGTGGGACTCAAGAAAAGGAAGGTTTGGTTGCTAAGGAGGTGGTTTGAGTAGTTCTCTATTTTGATTGATAAATTAGGTCATATCTTCATTTTTCTTACTGTATCAGATTTTAGTTATATGTGCACCCAGTTATACTAGACACAAGACTGTAAATAAGGGATTCCGCCTAAAAGGTTACGAGGTGGCACTCGTTTCCCTTATTGTGCATGCATCCCAAACTGCTTCGGATTGGATTGGCCCTTCTCTTGTTCAACCCCAGATATACTGGGACTACACTTGACTAGAAACTGTCTAAATTTGGCATTACCAGGAATGGAAAAAACATACAGTGTTCAGAGATGGTAGCATGCATAGCCTTGTGTGAGTGGGGGATGGGGGATTCTGAAGTTTCAGGTGCACTGTTTGAAAGGACTGGGTGCACGGTATGTTCTCCTGAAGGGACCAGATGCCAAGTGTCTTTTTACAAGTGTGACATATACAAAACCAAATGGGAGTTCCAAGCTAAGCTCCCCCCCCCCCCCCCCGTGCTTGCCCGCCTCCTTAGTTCCTCAGTTAGTGCTCTGAGGTTCTTGGGCACCTTGATAAGGAGTTGGGAGCAGTAGGGTCTATAAGGTGCTGTGAAGGGCATGGGTCTGTGTTGTTTTCTTGTTGCTCTGAGAAGGTACTTGCCTGTGAAAGCCTTATTTTGGCTCACGGTTTCAAAGAATTGGGTGGGTGGGAACATTTTGGGGAGGAGAGAGATGTGTGCCTTAGAAAAGAAGGAAGACTATGTATTGTGCAAGGTCTTTCTCCTCTTCCCCTTTTGTTCAGTCTGGGAGGCCCCCAGCACACCTTCAAGGCAGATCTTCCTCTCTCAGCTAACCCTACCTCGAAGTGCTTTTCTCAGCCACCCCGCAAGTCTCCTAGCCAGTCTCTTGTTTCTAAGTCTAGGCAAGTTGACAGTGAAGATAGGCGGTCACAAACATTTCCATCTGGTCGTTGTGCAGCACATTGCTTGGAGTGAGGCAAGTAAGGCCACATGAAACTTGGTCCCTGCCTTTAAGAAGCTAACAGTTGGGGCTGGAGAGATGGTTCAGAGGTTAAGAGCACTGGCTGCTCTTCCAGAGGACCCGAGTTCAATTTCCAGCAACCACACGGTGACTCACAACCATCTGTAATGAGATCTGGTGCCCTCTTCTGGCATGCAGGCATACATGCCAACAGCACATTGTATGCATAAAAAAAAAAAAAGAACCTAACAGTTAGGGTTGGAGACACTGCTCACAGGTTAGGGCACTTGCTGTTCTTTCCAGCACTCACAAACATCTGTAACTCAATTTCCACAGGCACAAATGGTTCGCTTACATACATGTCAGCAAAATTCATGCCCATAATAAATTTGGAAAATAAAATAAGAAAACAGCCTGGAGGGATGACTTAGTTAAAATACCTTGCTGCTCTTTCAAAGGGCCCAGATGCAATTCATAGCACCCACACTACATCTGAAAACTTTCTATAACTCTAGTCTCAGGATCTGTTTTCCTCTTCTGACCTTAGGTGAGCACTGGGCTTACATGTGCTGCACATGTTCTGCAGGCAGAAACACATAAAATTGAAAAAGAACAAAAGAACAGGCAAGGAGATGGATAGAGTTTGCCGCTTGAGTCTTAGGTGGTCCAGATGCTAACTGCCACCTAGTCTTAATAACAAACAACTCTGCTTTTCTTCAAGCTCTTCTCTCTCTCTCTCTCTCTCTCTCTCTCTCTCTCTCTCTGACTTGTTTGTTTATTATTGTTTTCGTTTGTCCAGACCGGGTTTCTCTGTAGCTTTGGAACCTGTCCTGGAACTAGCTCTTGTATACCAGACTGGCCCCAAACTCACCGAGATCCGCCTGCCTCTGCTTCCCCCCAATGTTGGGATTAAAGGTGTACGCCACCACCGTCAAGCGACTTTCTATGTTTGGCCTACAAATATCTCTGTGGCCACAGGTCAGAAGAGCGTGTCAGATTCTCTGGAACTATAGTTATAGGTAGTTGGGTGCTACATATGGGTGCTGGGAATTGCACCCCTGTTCTCCTCAAGAGCAATAAGTGCCTTAAACTGCTGAGCCTTCTCTCCAACCCTAGCTCTGCATTTTTTATTTATTTATTTATTATGTATACAATATTCTGTGTGTATGTCTGCAGGCCAGAAGAGGGCACCAGACCTCATTAAAGATGGTTGTGAGCCACCATGTGGTTGCCGGGAATTGAACTCAGGACCTTTGGAAGAGCAGGCAATGCTCTTAACCACTGAGCCATCTCTCCAGCCCCCTAGCTCTGCATTTTAAATCCTTCAGTGTGAGTGCGTAAAGGGAATGTACCTGAGTGGTCACACTCCTTTTAAAGGAAGTGCGCCTGAGTGGTCACGCTCATCTTAATTCTGGGCATCTCTTGAGGTTGAGACGCCTGCCTGTGGTACATCCACAAACACTCGAGCACGTATTGAGGTTGTCTCTTGAGACTAGGACAGTCCCAGAAGTCAGTGTGCTGATATGCGTGTTTTAATGATGCTGGAGAGATGGGTATCTCAGTGATTAAGAACGCTTGCTGCCCTTCTAGAGAACCAAAAATAGGTTTTAAACACCCAGGTTAGGAAGCTCACAACCTGTAAGTAGTTCTGGGGGATCCAGTGTCTTCTTCTGGCCTCTGAAGGCACCTGAATGCATGTAGCGTACACGCACACATACATGTAGATAAAAATAAGTCTTAAAAATAAAAAGATGTTGGCTGGGCGGTGGTGGCGTAGGCCTTTGGTTTCAACAGTAGGGAGGCAGAGGCAGGTGAATCTCTGAGTTGGAGGCCTACATGGTTTACACAGCAAGTTCCAGCACAGCCAGGGCTACACAGAGAAACCCTGCCTTGAAAAACCAAATGTGTGAATGCTGCCTGTCTAGTGCTGTATGCAGTGCATTGGCTGAGTGCTTAGTGGTAAGGCTTCTTGTCAGAGCTACAGGACATATGAGAGAGAAATGCGTAGCTCCCCAGTGCACATTAAACACTTCCTGTACACCAGGCTCTGTGCTAGATGCTTAGTACATCTTACTGCGTCCATCATACTTCAACCTCAGACATCTCTATGAGCCATGGTGTGTCCCTGCTTTACAGATAAGGAAGCCAAGCCTCTGTCCCAGGTAGTGAGGTAGTGAATTCAGCCTAGCTGCGCTTGATGCCAGAGAATCCTTTGTCACTGAGCTAAAGCAGATGCACATTGGGTGGGTGTGCTGGATGTAGAGACCAGTTTCCCCTATTGGAGTACATGGGTGAGTCTCTAGAAGTGACTGTCAAACTGCTGCACAAGTAGAAACTGGGGTTATGAACTAAGCCAGTTTTTCCCACATTAGTTTGTGGAGACAAGGAGGACAGAATTCTTTCCAGACTTCCTAGACTCTTTCTGGGCCTTTTGAATCTTAGTTTCCTCATAAGTATTTTGATTTTTGTTTTTTTGTGACGGTCAGAGCGAAATCCAGGGCCTTGCCTGCTAAACAAACACGACCACCACAGTGTAATACCCTAGTTACCATTGTCACCTTCCTCATGCCCACGATCTGCTAGTACCCGCAGAGAATGGGTGCTTTTAATGCTCACCGATGCATACACAGTGAATTGAGACAACAGAATTGTTGGTGAGTCTGCAGCCAGGCCTAAGCACAGGTAAGACTCATATAAATGAGAACAGGGAAAGGATCCTTTATAGGAGGCCAGAGTGAACAGGAGACAAATTGCTCCCACCTTGAAATACTTCTAGGTGTAGTGAGAGTGGAGCTGGGGTACTGGGAGAGAGGGCCTGGGTTAGATCCAGCACTCTATAAATTGAGCGTGGTAGCACAGACCTTAATCCCAGCATTTGGGAAGAGAGGCAGGAGAGTTAGAAATTTAAGGCTATCAGCAGCTTTGTAATGAGTTTGAAGCTGGGTTTAGGAGGTTATGTTTCACCTCTTTGAAACAGGAGGTGGGAGAATGTAAGGCTCTGGATCAACAGGATGCAGTGGGTCCGATGCTGGGCATTGTGACTTACACAGTCTTATAAAAAGTGGGAACCTTAGCTGGGCACATGCCTGTAATTCCAGCACTCAGGAAGCAGAGGCATGTGGATCTGAGTTCAAGGCCAGCCTGGTCTACAGAGTGAGTTCTAGGACAGCTAGGGCTGTTGAGAAACCTTGTCTCAAAAAATTAAAAAGGTGGGAGGCCCTTTAAGGGTTATTGAATAAGTAAAGAAATGATTTTAAGGAGGTTATAGTTTGGGATGACCGCAGGCAGAATCAACTGGAAAAATTCTTTAACTTCGAGGGTCATATTTGCTTTAAATTATGTATGCATGGCACAGGTTCAAAGCCAGAGAAGAGTCTACTCAGGAGGGAGGTGGCTGCGAGCCGGATTAGTAGCTATGGTAAGAAGAAAGGCGGTCAGAAAAGCAGGCATTGCAGAGACCTTATTTGTGGGGTCAGGACAGTTTTAAGGGCACAGTGAAGGCAGCAGGAGTCAACATTATAGTGTGCCATAGTTGTAAGAAGGTCAGAAGGGCATGTCACTGACAAAGATAGAGAAATCCAAAGTGAGGTTTGGGATGAGCTAGAGATTTCCAGTACACAGGTGTATGAAACCAGGATTCAAGGGCGGAGGTAGGGCTAGACAAAGATGACAGAAATGTCAGCCTGAGATAGAAAATACCCTCAGGTCAGGCTAGGGATGTGCCCTAGGTGGTGATGTGCTGCCGTGTAGCACACTCAGAGCCCTCAGTTTGATACCGAGCACTGCGTAACTCAGCGGGAGCATCATAGAGCATGTTTGTAATCCTAGAACCTAGGGCGGTGGAAGCAAGAGAATCCTTAGCTCTATCCTGAGTTTCCAGCTTAAGTAGCAGTGAGGCCTGTGCCATAACAAAACTATCCTACATGCCTTCAGCTTTCAAGGGGAGGAAACCCATTGAAGGTTAATTTCTATTTTTTTGGAAAAGTAAAGGACTTTTCTGTTTTTTGTCCCCATCTACCCACCCGGCAGGGGTCGGGGAGGGCTGTGTGAGACAGGGTCTCACTGTATAGTCGTGGATGGCCTGGAGCTAGTTGTGTAGACCAGACTGGAAAACTCCTAGAGATCTTCCTGCTCTGATTAATCTGCTGCTGGGATTAAAAGTATGTGCTGGTGGGGCCGGAAAGATGGCTCAGTGGTTAAGAGTAAGTCAAGACTGTTCTTTCAGAGGATCCAGGTTCAATTCTCAGCTCACAACTGTCTATAACTCTAGTTCTAGGGGAACCGATACCCATGACAAACCACCAATGCACATAAAATTTAAAAAAGAAAAAAAAGTATATGCCACCATGTCCAACTTTTCTAAAGTGGCTCTAGGATCAAACCAGGTTAAGCAGGCGCTCTCCCACTGGGCTGTACTCCTAGCTGCAGGCTCTATTAGCTCGTGAGCCATAGTGTCCCATCGCTTCAAATAAAAATCACTTGGGTCTGTGTGCTGAAGTACACACTTGTAATCCCAGAAGGCTGAGTCAGGACGATTACATATTCAAGACTAATTTTGGACTACACAGGAAGTGAGACCCTAACTCAAAAACAAAACAAAAGCAAACAACAACAACAAAACGATGACATGTTCTAACTGTATAGTGCTGCTTAACTTAACATTGCTGTCTGGACACAGCACCATTTGAATTTTAGATCACTTTCAGATGCGTTTGTTTTCTGCTGGTAAAGTTTTTAGTGTCATTCTGGTACTCCATTAAAAACATACTCTTGCTGGGTGGAGGTGGCACAAGCCTATAATCTCAGCACTCAGGAGAACAGATCCAGGCAAGTCTCTGAGTTCGAGGCCAGCTTGATCTACAGAACGAGTTCCAGGACAGGTTCCAAAGCCACAGAGAAACCCTGTCTCGAAAAACTGCAAAAAACAAACAAACAAGAAAAAAAACCGGGCTGGAGAGGTGGCTCAGCGGTTAAGAGCACTGACTGTTCTTCCAGAGGTCCTGAGTTCAATTCCCAGCAACCACATGGTGGCTCAAAACCATCTGTAATGAGATCTGGCGCCCTCTTCTGGGCTGCAGGCATACAGGGAGGCAGACTGTTGTATACGTAATAAATAAAATCATTAAAAAAAAAAGAAAAGAAAAAAAAACCTCTTGGGTTTTTGTACTATTTTAGATTCTGGTATGGAAATTGAATAAGCAGGGGTGTCGGTGCACATCTGCAATCCTAGAACATGGGGGTTGAGGCAGGAGGAGGAACATCAAGGGTTTTCAAGAATAAATCAAAGAGCAGCTAGGCAGGGAGATGTGGGTTATAATTTCTACAGTTTGATCTCTCTCTCCCTCCAGGTGCCCAGATGACTATTATGAGCCAGGCTTGTGCAGAAAGGTGTAACATCATGAGACTGGTGGACCGTCGGTGGGCTGGCATAGCCAAAGGCGTAGGCACACAGAAGATTATTGGAAGGGTGCATCTAGGTGAGTGAAGGCAGTCAGACGCTTGCTGCTTTCTGGTAGGGAATTTTTAGGGTGGTTGAATTTTAAGGTTCTTTCATAATCACCTCTGGTTGATGTGGCTATGTACATACAAACAAGCAGGTGTAGCTCAAATTCTAATTGGTCTTAATAATAAAAACCTAGAGTCAGATATGGGGGTAAAAGCTGAAAGATCAGAGAAGCAGAGCAACCAGCCACTAGTTCTTACCGCTACGAAATCCTCAGGTCGAATGGGGTATTCTGATTCTACAAGTCTTCGGACTGAATGCCTGAATGAATTGAGCTCTTATCTCCTCCCACCTCATATTCCTCTCTCCGCCCAGCCATATCCCTTTCTGTTTCCACCTTCCTCGCTCTGGATTTAAAGATGTGTGACTCCCAAGTATTGGAATTAAAGGTGTGAGGCAACACTGCCTGGCTCTGTTTCTCTTTTAGACTGAATAAACCCTGTATAGCCCAGGGTGACCTTGAACTCACAGAGTCTCCCAAGTGCTGGGATCCAAGGTGTGTGCCACCACTGCCTGGCCTCTGTGACTAATTAGTGGCGCAGCTCTGCATTCTGATCTTCAGGCAAGTTTTATTTGTTAGATCACAAACAAAATATCACCACAAGCGGGTGAGTATCTGTGGATACACCTGCTTCTGTGCAGGTCAGAGGTCAACTTTCAGAGCTGATTCTAGCCTTCCAATCTTCCATGGTCCCTGGACTTGAATTCAGGTTGTCAGGCTTCTGTGGCTAACAGTTTACTTGCTGAAACATCTTGCTGACCCTAGAGTGTGTGTTCTTCCCTCTAGTCTGGCTAGGTCAGAACTCATTTCCCTAGAATCATAATCAGTGTTGCTGTGGGAATGTTGAATGCCCCTGGGAAGTATGGCCCCTTTCTTTTTTCAGTCCCCCTTAGTGTATTTTCATATACTTGAGTGTCTTCCTTTCTTGTACTTGAGTGTTAATGGCTTTTTAAGTCTGGGGGTGTATCCTTCAGTTCCATGATGGAGCCCAGTGCACATGATAAGCACACCCCACAGCCAAGCTGTCCTCTATCCTGCCCCTTGATGTGCTCTGATGGTGATCTCTTCCTGTTGCTCAGTCAGTGGTCTCCTATGCCAGGCTCATCCTCCATATTCTTAGTGTTGTTTTGTTTGTTTGTTTATTTGTTTGTTTTGTGTGTGTGTGTAGAAGTGAGAGGGGGCAAAATATTAATGGATCCTAGAATGGGCATTCTGTCAGTTAAATCTTTCTAGAAACACTGTACCAATCAATGTATCCAGAGGTATGTTTCCATAGAGAGTCTAGATCCTATCAAGTTGGCTATAAGATTAACTTCACAGGCCCTCTATTTCAAGAACTGGCAAGACATCATAGCAAGGGTTTCCAGCACACAGACTGCACATGTGGAAGGGTAGTTAGGAATGGGATATTTAAGGTGTGAGTGTGTGTGTGGGGGGGGGGGGGGGTTCTTACTGCTTTTGTTTGTTGTAACTCAATTTTGTGGTTTTTGTTTTTTAAAGATTTATTTGTTATATTTTATGTATAAGTGGTTTTGTCTACTGTGCGTCTCTGGTGCCCTTGGAGTTTAGAAGAGGATATCAGATCCTCTGGAGTCTTACAGGTGGGTGTGAGCCTCCATGTGAGTGCTAGGAACCTAAGTTGGGTCCTCTGCAAGAACAGCAAATGTTTAACCTCTGAGCCATCTCTCCAGCGCCCATTATGTGCTTCTGGGTCATGGATTTTATAGTGGTAGTGTCAAAAGCTGGACCCTATGCAGGTCTCAATTAGTTTCTCATTTTGGCTGTCATCACCAAGGGGTTATCTGCTCTCCAGATGTCTGTGGGAGTCTTAGAGCAAGAGAGAATTGGAGGTGTTCTGGGATAGCTGCATGTCCACGTAGAGAGAAGAATCAGACCAGCTTCACAGTACACATACATAATTGTCCCGGTGGATTACAGCCCAAATGTGGGTTAGAAAATGCTTGCTACACAAGTGTGAGACCCTGAGCTTGGATCTCAGCCTGTAAAAGCGAGGTGTGATGGCACCTGTCTGCAGCCTCAATGCTGGGAGCACAGACCAGCTGATCTGGGGACTGGTAAGCCATCCAACCCTGTCAATGGGTGAGACCCTATTTCACAAACTATAGTGGAGAGCAATTGTAGTGATAATTTTATTTATGTTTTAATAAATAAAGCTTGCCTAAAGATCAGACAGGCAAAGCTAAGTCACTAGAAATCAGGCAGTGGTGAGACATTCCTTTAATCCCAGGATTTGGGAGACAAAGGCGGATGGATCTCTGCGTTCAAGGCCACTCTTCTCTACACAAGAGGGATGCAGAAACATCCAGGTGGTGGTGCCTTACACCTTTAGTCCCAGTCCTAGGGAGTCACACTAGAGGGATTATAAAATGGGAAGAGAGGCTTAGTCTGCTGATGCTCAGTATTGGTAGAGGTAAGCCTTCTCTAGTAGCTTAGCTGCCTTGCTTTTCTGGTTTTCAGGCTGAACCCCAATATCTGTCTCTGGGTTTTTATTATTCATGCTACAAGCAATAGAGGAAAAGACACTTAGCATCAAACTGCAGTCTCCACATACATGTTCACACCTAAACCTGGGTACACTGCATGTGCTTAGAGGCAGATTGTGGTGCCCCGTACACTTGTAAACTAAGCATTTGGCAGGTGGAGGCTGGACCACATGAGATGCTGACTTGTAAAACTGAACATGAAGAAGATAATGGAGAAAACAAGAGGAAAGATTAAGATTCAATTTTTTTTTTATTTTTAAAGACATTCTCTCTATAGCCCTGGATAACTCTGGAACTCATTATGTAAGCCGGGCTGGCTTTGAACTCACACATCTGCCTGCCTCTGCCTCTGGATTATTAAAGGTAAACTCCATGCCAAACAAGATTAAAAAGTTTGTCATGAGAGCTGGGCATGGTGGCACATGCCTTTAATCTAATCTCAGCACCCAGAAAGCAGAGGCAAGCAGATCCTTGAGTTCCAGAACATCCAGGGCCACACAGAGAAACCCCGGGGAGGGGGTTCCTTGAGCACATGTGGTATTGTACATCTGTAGTTCCAGTGCTTGAAAAGATATACCCTAAAATAATAAAATAGACATAATGTTGGCTAGAAATAGGTACAATACTATCTAAAGATCGAGGAAATGATTAACACAGAACTGAGATAGTTGGGAGAGTCGGAAGAGACAGATGAGAGGAATATAGGAAACATATCACTTTGGTTCTCTTTTTCTTTTTAAGATTTTTTTTTAAATTTATTTATTATGTATACAATGTTCTTTCTGTGTGTATGCCTGAAGGCCAGAAGAGGGCACCAGACCTCATTACAGATGGTTGTGAGCCACCATGTGATTGCTGGGAATTGAACTCAGGACCTTTGGAAGAGCGGGCAATGCTCTTAACCTCTGAGCCATCTCTCCAGCCCTCTTTTTAAGATTTTATTTATGTGCATATGTCTGTCTAGGTGAGAGTGTGGCCCATTTGTGTGCACAGGCTAACTGGAGTTACAGGCATTGTGAACTGCCAGTGTGGGTCCTGAAACTGAATTCAGTTCATTAGGAAGAGCAGCAAGCACTCTTAACCACTGAGGCAGTCTCACACTTTGGTTTTCTATTTCTTCATCTGGAAACTAAGTGCATGGTTGTTTGGTATACCTTATATTGGACACACAGCTCACACTCTATTTGTATTTGGCTTGCTTCTTCTTCTTCTTCTTTTTTTTTTTTAGACTTATTTATTTATTATGTATACAACATTCTGCCTTCCATGTATGCCCGCACACCAGAGAAGGGCACCAGATCTCATTACAGATGGTTGTGAGCCACCATGTGGTTGCTGGGAATTGAACTCAGAACCTCTGGAAGAACAGCCAGTTCTTAACCACTGAGCCATCTCTTCTTAATAGTAGCAAAGTAATTTAATGCCTTTTTAAAAAATTTTATGTTTATGGGTGTTTGCCTCCATTTACATCTGTGCACTCCCTGTGTTCTTAATGCCTATGGAAGCCAGAAGAGGGCATAGGACACCTATATCTGGAGTTATTAGTGATTTTGAGCTGCTCTGTTGGTGCTGGGCATTGAACCTGGGTCCTCTGCAAAAGTAGCCAATACTCTTAATTGCTGAGTCATCCCTTCTTCCCCTAGTAAAATAATCTTTTTTTGTTTCATGTGCATTGGTGTTTTGCCTGAATGTATGTCTGTATGAGGCTGTTGGACCTCCTGAACAGGACTTACATGAGCTGCCATGTCAGTGCTGGAATTGCACCTGGGTCTTCTGAAAGAGCAGCCAGTACTCTTAATTGCTAAGCCGTCTCTCCGGCTCCTAGTAAAATAAATTTTCACCTGAGAAGTGAGAGACACAAGCAGAGCCAGACTTTACTTGTGTTTCTGATTTGAAAAGTCGAAACTGGCTCTAACACGCATTGAGAAGCCTTTTCTTGTGTGAAGGTTGACTTAAAACGTTGCAGATATGCTGGTTCTATTGCTTTCTAGGAAACACTTATACAAAATGTGTCAGGTATGGTTTGGGCTCCATCCTAGCAACCATGTACATGGATACTCAGTAAACTGTACTCACAGATACTCAGTAAACCATTTATACCAGAGAGCTGATTTCACTGTTACCGTCGTGTGTGTGTGTGTGTGTGTGAGAGTGTGTGAGAGAGATGTGTGTCTTTTAATGCTTGCTTTCATTGCCTGCTGAGCATGGGTCCTGATAGTGATTCTTGAAAAGCCAGGTATTGAAAACAGTAGCCCTACCCTGAATACTTCATTTGCTTCCCAGCCTGTTTCATTGTTGTGCCGTCCTTGGCTTGACGGATCCCATGGAGCCCAGCGCAGGGGATGGGTTCCTCCACTGCTGCCCCAGGCTTGTGCAGCTGCATCAGTAATATCTCCTCCTCTTATGCTTTAGCTCAGGTTCAGATTGAAGGCGATTTCCTGGCATGTTCCTTCTCCATACTCGAAGAACAGCCAATGGACATGCTTCTGGGACTGGACATGCTTAAACGACATCAGGTAATTAAGAGCTTTTGTATGTGTGTGTACATGCATGGACACACATAAGTACATAGAGGCTAGAAGTTGACAGCAGATGTCTTCCTTGGTCTGTCTCACCGTGTTTGTTTTAGCTGGTGTCTCTCACTAAACCCAGAGCTCACCAATTTGACTAGACTGTAAGACAACAACTCCAGGGGTCCTCCCCAGTGCTAAGGTTATAGGTGTGTACTGTTGCACCAGGGTTATGGGTTTTGTTGTGTAGCCCTGATAAGCCCAGAGCTCACTGTATAAAGAAACCTGCCTTGAACTTGCATGTTCTTGCCTCTGCCTCTTGATCCTGGAATTATACGCATGTACCATCATACCTGAGCTGCCTGATTTGCTATGTATCTCTAGTATTTACATCAATTCTGCTAGTTGCATAGATTGACAGACCAAGAAGCATATATATATATATATATATATATTTGGGTTTTTTTTTGTTTTTTTTGTTTTTCGAGACAGGGTTTCTCTGTGGTTTTGGAGCCTGTCCTGGAACTAGCTCTTGTAGACCAGGCTGGTCTCGAACTCACAGAGATCCGCCTGCCTCTGCCTCCCAAGTGCTGGGATTAAAGGCGTGTGCCACCACCACCCGGCAAGAAGCATATTTTTCTTTTTTTTTTTTTAAATATTTATTTATTTATTTATTAAGCCTGCAGGCCAGAAGAGGGCACCAGATCTCATTCCAGATGGTTGTGAGCCACCATGTGGTTGCTGGGAATTGAACTCAGGACCTTCGGAAGAGCAGGCAATGCTCTTAACCACTGAGCCATCTCGCCAGCCCAAGAAGCATATTTTTCAAACATGGAAATGTCCTTGGTAGATTCTGTTGTATAGAGTTGAGATGACTATCATTACAAATAGAGTCTGTCAGTTGGGTGTGGTGGTGCATGCCTTTGATCCTATCACTTAGATCAGATCCTAGCACCTAGAACAGAGAGGTAGCCAAGTATTTGTGAGGCCTGAGCTGCATAGTGAGACCCTGTCTCAAAACAACAGCACAGGTCTCTACTTGTAAAACCTCTAGGGATAAGCTAAATCTTGTTTGTTTTGACATTATAATAGCAGTTTTATTTGTTATTTTTACCTTAAATTTTTTTTAGACTTAGTTTTATCTTATGTGTTTTGTTCATGAGAATGTATGCACCACATGCTTGTGTGGTACACTTAAAGGTAAGAGGGGACTGGACAGATGGCTCAGTGGTTGAGAGCACTGCCTGCTCTTCCAAAGGTCCCGAGTTCAATTCCCGGCAACCACATGGTGGCTCACAACCATCTGTAATGAGGTCTGGTGCCCTCTTCTGGCCTGCAGGCATACAGGCAGACAGAACACTGTATACATAATGAGTAAATAAATAAATATATTAAAAAAAATGATTTCCTACAGGTGTTTAGTACATACTTCTCTTGGATGTTAATTAAACAGTAGACAGAACATTGAGATTAAAAGAGTAGAGAATAGGGGGCTGGAGAGATGGCTCAGTGGTTAAGAGCATTGCCTGCTCTTCCAAAGGTCCTGAATTCAATTCCCAGCAACCACATGGTGGCTCACATCCATCTGTAGTAAGATCTGGTGCCCTCTTCTGGCCTGTAGGCATACAGACAGAACATTGTATACTAAATAAATAAATATTTTTAAAAAAAAAAGAAAGAAAAAAGAGTAGAGAATAGAAATGCTTTGTTCATTCAAGGAGAATTATCTGACAACACATTAATTTGTCATGATGCTTTATTCGTCATCTGATGCCTAACTAAGATCTGCCATGCTCCTTGCAGAACATTGGTAGTGTCTGCTGGGTAATAGACACCACAGTAATTCATGTTGTTTGTTTTGCTAAGCAAGTGCTGTACCACTGAGTATAGCCTGAATCCCGCTGTGGGTTTTTAAATAAAGTCAGCGTGTTCACACCATTGTATTTTAAATATTTCACCTGAGAATATAGGTCAGCAAGAGAGCACTTGCCTAGTGTATGAAAGACTCTCTAGTTCCAGGCCCCTAAAATCAAAAAGCCCTGAAAAATAATGTGTATTATATTAATTTAGCATTTTAAATAGAAGCAATGAATATATTTGGATAGATGGAAGCTGGGTTGTTTATTTGTCAGTTTCTTGTTATCTGTTAGCATACACTGGTATTTTCTTTCTTTTTTGGTTTTTCGAGACAGGGTTTCTCTGTGGTTTTGCTAGCTCTTGTAGACCAGGCTGGTCTCGAACTCACAGAGATCCGCCTGCCTCTGCCTCCCGAGTGCTGGGATTAAAGGCGTGCGTCACCACCGCCCGGCTACACTGGTATTTTCTAACTTTACAGGCATAAATCAAACATGGGTAACTGTTCAATTTTAAGTAGAAATAAAAACCACACAGGGAGCCAGGCGGTGGTGGCGCACACTTTTAATCCCAGCACTTGGGAGACAGAGGCAGGTGGATATCTGTGAGTTTGAGGCCACCCTGGTCTGCAGAGTGAGTTCTAGGACAGGCTCCAAAGCTACACCGAGAAAACCTGTCTTGGGGGGAAAAGGAAGAAAGCCTTATGGAAAAGGATAAAGCGAAGTGGCTGTAGTGGGCAGTACCCCTGTAATCCCACCACTGGCCTCAGGCAGATGGATCAAGATGTCAAGGAAGGTCCGGATTATAGACGCTTTCTCAAAAAGTAAAAAAACAAAGGAGGACAGGGAGATGACTTGGTTATAGCGCTAGCTGCAGTGGCTGTGCAAGCCTGTTGACCCAGGCTTGATCCCCAGAGCCCTTGATGGGTTTGGTGATATCTGTAGTCTCAGCGCTCCTACTCCAAGATAGGACATGGAAGCAGAACTGCCTAGAAGCTCACGAGCTTGCTGGCCTGAAGTATGCAATGCAGCAGCAGAAACAGGAGACCAAGTAGAGACAAGGACCAGGAGTTGGAGGCCAGCCTCCACTACACACTGGGTTCAAGGGCTTGTCTAAATCAGAGCGATATAGGGAGATGTAGAGGCACACAGGAAGAGGAAGGTGAGTTGGAGGCTGTTAGACTACAGCATGAATCGAGGTCATTCTGGATTACATAGCAAGACTTTGTCTTCCAAATCAGATGTAAAACATTGCTGCTTTCAGGTGTATAGTAAGGGTGTCTTTGTGTTTCTGTTTAAGCCTTCTCTTTTCCTGGTCATGTTCTTCATTGGTTGAATGTGGGGCTAAGACTCGATTCATTTACTGCTTTTCTTTGCTTTTCTTCTTTCAAAGTGTTCGATTGACTTGAAGAAAAATGTACTGGTGATCGGCACTACAGGCTCACAGACCACCTTCCTTCCTGAGGGGGAGCTACCAGAGTGTGCCCGCTTGGCATATGGAACTGGGCGAGAGGACATACGGCCAGAGGAGATTGCAGACCAAGAATTAGCAGAAGCCATTCAAAAATCAGCAGAGGATGCAGGTATTGGGGCTGACCATCTGAATAGTGCTGTTGTTAGTGGGGTGACAGCCTTCCTAGGAATGAACCTCGTTGTTAAGCAATAGTTGTGTTCTCTGTCTTACTCCTCTTTCCATCTCTTAATACTGTGGTGAGAAAGTAGCTCCTGGGGCTGGAAAGTAGAGCACTTGCCCAGCACACGTGAAGCCCTGGGCTCAGTCCCCGGTACCACATAAAGTAGATGAGGTGGTACACACCTGAAATTCTAGCACTCAGGAGGTTAAGGTGGGATAGTTGATGGAAGGCTAGTTTGGATATTTGAGACCCTGTCTCAAAAAGGAGGAGAGAGGATGGACAGGGGTTTGCATTGCTATAGCTCGGCAGCTAAAGACACTTGCCACAGAAGGTTGAAGGAGAACACCTACTCCACAGTTATGCTCTGACCTGTCCATGCCCACAAATAGGTGCCATCATAGTAAAAGGATTCCTATTTCAGCAGATCAAGAAAAAGAACCTAGGAAGCTGGGCGTGATGGCACACACCTTTTATCCTTGCACTCCTGGAGGCAGAGGCAAGTGGATCTCTGTGAGTTGGAGGCCATCCTGGTCTACAGAGCAAGTTCCAGGATAGCTTTGACTGTTACACAGAGAAACCTATCTTGGAAAACTGAAAAGAGAAAAAAGAATTTAGGTATAATGGCATATACCTGCAATAGTAGCAGTCCGATACTGAGGCAGAAGAATCACAAGTTCAGGTCAAAACAACAACAACTAGAGAAGCCTTAATCCCAGCACGACTCAGGAAGCAAAGCTGATCTCTACCTATGTGAGTTCAGGCCATGTTGGAACCAGGATCCAGTGCCGTGTTCAAGGTTAGGTCATTCTTTGCTTTCGTGCTTTAAAGCATCCTGTTTTGTTCATAAAGAGTTCTACAGGAAGCATACACTTTCAGATCAGCAGTATCCCTGGAAATGCATTTCATTTCTCAGCACGTTTATTGATTTGAAGGAAGGCATTATCACTATGACTAAAGAGTGAAAATGTTCACCAAAAGTGCTGCCTCCAAAGAAGAACCAGTGACAAGTGTAATCTTACTTTAATCAATTGTAGCACTTATGCTTGCTGAGGTCTCAGACTAAGGCCACATAGCAGTGCTTTGAATCCAGGTTCCCCTAATGCCTTCTGAATATGAAGAAAGATGAGTCTTCTGAGGAAAATGGATCAAGACAACTTCCCTGAAATTCCCCATCTATTAACAGAACAGTGACTCATGTGCATTTTCCAAAAACTGAAAAGATTTCACTTTTAAGTGAATTGTCTTGGAGTCTTGGTCAGAATTATTTATCAATCTTTGTGGTAGAGTGCGTGAGAATTATGAACTCATGGAATAACTTTCTGCCCAAGAAAGAGATAATATAATGTTTGAAAAGCTTTGTTATGTATCCGGGCGGTGTTGGTGCACGGCTATAATCCCAGCACTCGGGAGGCAGAGATAGGTGGATCTCTGAGTTCGAGACCAGCCTGGTCTACAAGAGTTAGTTCCAAGACAGGCTCTAAAGCTACACAGAGAAACCTTGTCTCAGCCGGGCGGTGGTGGCGCACGCCTTTAATCCCAGCACTTGGGAGGCAGAGGCAGGCGGATCTCTGTGAGTTCGAGACCAGCCTGGTCTACAAGAGCTAGTTCCAGGACAGGCTCCAAAACCACAGAGAAACCCTGTCTCGAAAAACCAAAAAAAAAAAAAAAAAAAAAAAAGAAACCTTGTCTCGAAAAACCAAAAGAAAAGTAAAGTTTTGCTATGTTTCCCTAGAGCACGTGTAGGCATGTAGCCTTAAACCTCTGGATTGTGTAGCTGATGGAACTTCCAGGTTGGCCTTGGTCATTGTGTGGTCCCACTTCACTACGTGGAAAGTAGGATTTTGGTTGCAACCGAGGTATTTTTTGGAAGGAAGGAGAGTTTTGAGTTACCAACAATCATTTTAATCTTCCTGGAGGGCCAGTGCCAGTGAGCTCATCCACCTCCTTAGTCTATGGACGGCAATTTGGCAATTTCGACAGGCTGCCGACATTTTAAGATAGCATTTCCCCACACAGCCACGTACCGTAATTAGAGAAACATTAACTGATGGCAGCCGTATCCTAACCCGGTCAGTAACACTTAACCTTCTGAAGTGCGCATCACGTTCAGGGTACTAAAGTAACTGCCACCTTTTCAGCATCAGCAAAGAAAAGCACAGACCAGTTTTAGAAACCACCGATCCATGGAACCCTTGCTACTAACACACGTAACCTGTGTTGATTTTTGTAGTGTTCTAACGGTGTGATTCTGCAAAGTTAGACTTGATTTATTAGAAGAATCGACTGCTTTGGATCATTAAAATCATGATTCTTTACATAATATGTGGAATTATTTCCAGGAAGTTGTTTATCTCTAGGAAATTATCAGGCTATCTTTACCCTCTGTATCCATCTACAGACTGACTATAGGAGCTGTCTGGCATGTCTGTATGCTGGATAACTGTGAAAAAGGCAGCATCAGCGATTTAGCCACTCTCGGTTTGTCTTCAGAAAATGAGTGAGAGACAGGTGTGCTGGCACCTGCCTATAAGCCCACGCTTGAAATGTCAAGTTCTAGGTCAGTCTGGGCTACATAGCCATACCTTGTCTCAAAACAGAAAAATAGAACTGTTGAGCAGTTGGAAAGCTTCTACCCTGCCACTAACCCTTCTAGGTGGCCGTCAGGCAGCTCTTCTGATGGATTGACTTTGCCTCCTACATCTGTGCAGAGCTGTGAAATAATTTCTTTCCAAGTACAGTTAAAAATCTGTTGAGCCGGGCGGTGGTGGCGCACGCCTTTAATCCCAGCACTCGGGAGGCAGAGGCAGGTGGATCTCTGTGAGTTCGAGACCAGCTTGGTCTACAAGAGCTAGTTCCAGGACAGGCTCCAAAACCACAGAGAAACCCTGTCTCGAAAAACCAAAAAAAAAAAAAAAAAAAAAAATCTGTTGATGTAGAAACCTTGTTGGTTGTATTTGGAGAGAATTGAAGCAACCAGCAAGTCTTTGGGATGCCCAGGCTGTGGAAACATCCCTCAACATGGACTCCTCGCTCCTCATTTTAAGGATGGGAAGGATTGAAGACTACAGCCCTGCATGCTGTGTGGTTCTGCGTTCTTAACCCACGTTTGCTTGTCTGTTTCCTAATCCAAACAGAGCGTCAGAAGCCATGATGCATGTAGTGTGTGTGTGCTGCAGCTGGAGTGGGCCCCAGACCAGGTATTTATAGACACCACATTACCTTCCATCCAGTTGTCCTGTGCTCTCAACAGTCTCTGTCTGGAACCATTTTGGAAACTCAAGACTTGCAATCTCTGTTTCTCATTGTTCAATCTTGTTACAACTAGCCTGTATATACACTTTTATGTATGTTGGCATGTACATGTAGGCTTAAATTCTTGTTTAGAACGTTACTGTTTATGGGAACTGTCTAGGAGAGAGTCTTAGTGAAGATACTATGTACCCACCACCTATGACAGTTGAGGACACCGAGTCGAGTCAAGACTGTCGGCATTATGGCAGCTTGTTGCAGATGATTTTTTAGATGTCTCAAGCCATTTTGCTTTGAAAAGCTGGAAATCCTTGTACATTGGAAGTTTATAGAAGGACAGAGTTTTCATCTTACTGAGCAGAAATGGAAACTTGAGCCAGATGACTTACCCAGAATCATAGTAATGGGTGGGCAGGGCATGGTAGTGCCTCCGGCATCCCCTTCTTAGGAAGTTGAGACAAGAGGATCCAAGGCTTAAGACCCACCAGCCTGGACTGTGTAGTGAAACTTACTTGGGAGGAAAATTGTTAGCAGAACTTAAATTTTTTTTCCTCAAATGGTAAGAACTGATACTTGGCCTGACATGACTGTGGAAGGCAACTGCTGCCACTTCTGTGCTGTCGGCAGGGCCCTGTCCGTCTGAGTATGTTCACTGATTTTATCTGGAACAGCTTTGATAATAACAAGGGTTTGGAGGCTGGTTGTAATCGGACTCATAGCATTTCATTCTCATTCTCTCTCGGTCTCTCTTTCTCTCTCCTTTCCTCCCTCACTCTCATTTTAAGGACATTAGGCTTGGTTAATGTCCGCCAGCCTCTTTTTCTAATTCCCCTGTTGCACTAGCTGTTTTGGTTTCAGAAGGATGACATACACGCTGCTCTTAGAGTGAGTATAAAGTCTAAGCCGGGCAGTGTGTCATGCGCCTTTAATCCCAGCACTCGGGAGGCAGAGGCAGGTTGATCTCTGTGAGTTCGAGGTCCTGGTCTACATAGTAAGCTCCAGGACAAATAACTACATAAGAAATCCTGTCTTGGGGCCTGAGAGATGGCTCAGAGGTTAAGAGCATGGGCTGCCTTTCCAGAGCTCCTGAGTTCGGTTCCCAGCAACCACATGGTGGCTCACAACCATCTATCTAGTGGGATCTGATGCCCTCTTCTGACATAAAGGCTTATGTGAAGTCTTCTTAAAAATAAATAAAAAGGAAAAAAAAAGAAATCCTGTCTCAACCCAGAAAAAAGATAGGGTGTCTGGCCTTGGAATCCTAACTGCTCTCTGCAGTGTTTGGAAGCCAGTTGTGCTAGTTAGTGTGTGTTGTAATGCCCGCTTAGTCTGAAACAGGAGGAGTGCTTGCTGCAAGTCAGACCGGACAGAGCTGCATTATAGGGCTAGAGAAACAGTGCCTCCCTGGCGTGCATAAAGCACCACATAAACTGGGAACAGTGATGCACACCCATAATTCCAGAACCAGGAGGATCAGACTTCTACATCAAGTCAGAGGCCAGCCTGGAAGACATGAAATCTAGCCTCAAGGTTGAATGAATAAATAATTATAGTGTTTAATCAGATAAATAAAATTTTGTCTGCTTCATTTTGTTCTGTTATTTTCTAGGGATCTCTAGGCATGTAAACCCCATCTCGATTGGTTGCCCCGCTCTGTCCCTAGCATACTTGCTTTTGGATTTCTTCTGTGTAACTTAGGCTCACACTTGAAACACTGGAGGCAGTGTGGTGGCCCATGCTGTAATTCCAGCCCCCAGGAGGCTGGCATGTGAGAATCACTGATAGTTCAAGGCTCATCGCTCCCCCCCCCCCCTTAAATATAAGAAGGGAAAAGAACTCAATGAGAATGCAAAATTCCCCAGCAATAAATAAGCAACCATGCCTGTTTGACATGATGGGACACTCCCAGCAGCCAGCATTCCAGGGTCAGGCCAGCTCAGGCTACATAGTGACACCCTGCCTGCAATAAATATATGCTTAGGTAAGCATCTGTAGTGTGAACACTGACACAGCCGTTAATGAAGTGCATGCTGACAGTTTATGTATGGAATTTAGTAATGTTTATTAGAGACATACTCAGTTCAGGTTCAATGATGCTAACTCATTTATCATAGAAAGATTTGTATTTTTTTTAGCCTTATGTTTGCAAGACAGACCTAAATTAAAAGACCTGCTTTTATTCTATTGAGATTTCATTCTTTGATAATTTAGTGGTCTAACTTTTCTTTTTCTTTACTTTAAAAAAAAAAAAAAAACAGAGAAAAGCAGTAAAGAATCTACCTCACTGGGAATGTCATCATTGCTGACTTCAGATGGGTTCAACCATCCAGCCCCTTCTTCAGGGCAGAGTCCTGAGGTTGGTAGCCCCACGAGTCTTGCTCGCTCTGTCTCTGCTTCAGTTTGCGCCATCAAGCCCAGTGACCCCAATAGCATTGAACCTATAGCTATGGAGGCTGTGAAGACTTCGGCTGAATTCCAGACAAACTCTCCGAAAACAGATCCTCCTCCTCTCCAGGGCCTTCCTGATCTCTCTTCCCCACCAGACCAGAATCCAGCTATGCCTTTGCATAATTCATCCGAAGAAGCATTTGTTGCAGATAATCCAGAGAAGTTTGCTGTTGGAGGAACCCAGGGCCTCAGAGTTTATCTCCACACCAGACAGGACACTAGTTTATCTCTCACAACTACTGGGGTGTATGAGCCACAGGGATTTGTGGAAGAAAAGAGTTGGCATCCAGAAAATCAGAACCCAGGTCAAGTGAATGGCCCTCAGCAGCCCAGAGAACCACACAGAGGGAACGGTCAGCAGAGTGCCCCACATGACCAACAATGTCCCTGTGACACAAAAAATCAACAGGACCAAGAAAACATTGTCAGTTTGGAAGCTGTGATGAAAGGAGTTGAACTACAGACAAATGCTCATCTTCCAGATACAGAGAAAAGTCTTGTAGCTTCAGGGCACTATAGCTGCTCCTGCCCAGAAACCCTGATGGACGTGGATACAATTGAACGGTCTCTGACTGCCGTGTGCAGCTTCATGGGCGGGCAGGATGCCAGCATCAGGAGCCCTGGTGCACCACATCTCACTTCCGATAATCCCACGATGGAAGTGGAAGCAGTACACTGCAGCCCCTCACCTGAGAGCATGGAACATTCCGTCTCGGCTTGGGGTTTGCAGCCCCCAGAAGATAATGTTGAAGTGTCTGCGATGGATAGCCAAGAAAGCAGCGCTTCCTCTTCCCCTCTGAGTGACCACGGTCAGCCCTCTGTGGAGGCAGCCGAAGAATTTTGTTCATCTGTCACAGTGGCCTTGAAAGAACTGCATCATCTTTTGGTCATTAGCTGTAAGCCAGCTTCAGAAAATGCACCTGAAGATGCTAACTGTCGGTCAGAGATGCAAGCTGAGAGCCAAACAGGTACTTTGGACCTTTCCCGAAGGGGGGCCCAGAGTGAGAATTCGACCCCTAGTGACCAGTATCCACAAGTCTCCTGTCACCAGGCCACCTCTGAATCAGAGAAGACAGAAATCATAGCCACCACACCTTGTCTTGGCATAGAGCATGAAGCGTACACTAGCTTCAGGGGTCTGGGTGATGGCTTGTCACCTGGCAAAGAAGGTGTCCCCAGACCAAGGGAGTCAGTCAGGAAGAGCTGTTCTGTCGCCATAACCTCAACTAAACCATCTGATCAGCCACATTGCACCTCAGATGTGAAAATTTCACCCACATTTGCAGCAGGTGAGGAGGGTACCCCCAGTCAGCCTTCCGAGCATGTGCAGAACCCAGGCACAGACGGGCCGGAGACCAGCAGTGTTTGCCCTGGAGCTGCGCCGCCCTCCCATGGATTGGACCCACCTGCCACACAGCCCTTGTCTTCTCTTCCACCCTTCATCTTTCCCACTGCAGATGTTAACCGGATTCTCCGTGCCGGCTTTACTCTGCAGGAAGCCCTTGGGGCTTTGCATCGAGTTGGTGGGAATGCAGACCTCGCACTTCTTGTTTTGCTAGCAAAGAACATTGTAGTCCCTACGTAATTGTGGGAAAGCGGCTAGACCGTACCCCATTCCCTCTGTGAAAGCTCTCTCCACACAGACACACTCACCACATACATACACAGTATATGTAGAAACCAACCTGCAAGCAAAATGTTGAGCCAGATTTTTTTTTTCCCGGCCAAAGTAATTTATGATCTTTTGTCTGATGAATTTGTCTTTTTACTTGTTTAAAATTTGGGCCTTTTAAAATGTCTTGGCAGTATGTGCATACAAAAGCTTTTTATTCTCATTAAGATGATGTATTCTGTAATAAAACAGATGGTTTTGTGTATAGCATACCATTTTAGATGAGTGAATGCTTTGAAAGCAGGAGCCACACGAACCCTGCCACCCATGCAGCTAGGAACAGGCCAGCCACTCCTGGCTCTGGCTGTGCTGTGTGCAGAATGTGGCTTGTAACAGGAAGCTGGAGAAGAATTCCATAACTCCTGGAGTTGTATGTTTTGGTTTGTGTGCTCAGGGTTGACATTTAAATAGGGTGAGCGGGAGGGCTTAGAACTGGGCTGTCTTGTGCTTCATAGACTGCTGCGTGGATTGATTGCCAGACACCTTTATGACGGTGGGTGGGGCGTGGGGGTTCACATTAGAATGAAACATGGTGCTACTTGTATTAAAAAAGGGAAGGAGGAAAACTGATCATAATTCCATTTGCAAATGTCAAGGACTGTGAGTAAGAGATAAAACACTGGAATGTACTAGATATAGGACTTGGGGCATCTCACTGACACCCCCCAGGCCTCAGTGGCCAATGGTCAGCTGCCAGGAGCCTAGCTTCTGAAACACACCTGCTGGGAAGGTCTTCCCATGCTCACTCTGAGCTGAGCAAGACTGAGTTAGAACCTTCGTCCCTGGTCCTCTTGCTGCTTAGACTGGTCATTCTGTGAGTGTCCTTTATGGCAGTGGGTACAACCGAAGTTCTGACGATGGTGGCCTTGGTACAGTTCCCATCCCTTTCTTTCCTCAGGAGTTTCTTTTCTAAGCAGGATCCATGTTTGTGTTCACCATGTTGAGTTAGAGTGGGGCGGAACGCGGAGATGCGTTTACCGTGGCCTTTTTAGTGTTAAGTTCTCGCCTTGTAGGTCGTCCTGTGGGCCCCACTGTGCAATAATCCCTCTGGACAGGGCTGAAGGCATCCTTTCCTGGAACATAAACTGTTGTCTCAGATGTCTGGCAGGAATCTGGAATCTTGCTTTTCTCGAAAAGGATCTTGAGGATAACTCCTGGTTCCTAGTGAGAGTTTGGAATCGGTTTCTGGACTTAGCACTGACTGATTTGTGTCTAAAGTCCACCTCTCTCTTCTCCTCTCTCTCTCAAGCTTGTTCTTTCCATCAGAATTGAAGTCATTGAGCACAGATGGGTTCATATCTCAGGAGTTGGTGAAACTTTAGGGCACTTACAGGGGTCTGTTCTCCGGTCCATTTCTTTCTGCCACGCTGCTTGTGCGCCGAGACTCACTCCAGCGACACGATGGCAGGTCACACAGTATCACGACCCTTTCTGGAGTTTGGAAATGGTTGCTGGATGGCCTTGTGGTTTCCTTTCTCCATTAGGCGCTCAGAACATCAGGCTAGCCGAGAAGTTCTTTGTTTCAGACAAGCACAGCGTGTCCGCCCTTTGCTTGTCGCACCAAAGATAAGTGTGTGACACCGGGAACCTGCTCCCAGGAGGCTCTTGCCCGGCGTAGAGTTGTGGCTAAAAGATCAAGTAGTAGCACACTGAGACCTGGTGTTTGCTTTGGGGGGGTGGAGGTATATTTTAGGGTTACAAATCTTTGGGGCCACAGGGTGGGGTTTGTAGAGAAGGTACTGATGACAGACAGCCACTACTGCCCCCCACCCGCACCCCAGAAGGCCTGAACAGAGGAACTGGCGTGCAAGACCAGTGGTTTGGCCACTGATTTTTTAAAACGGATGATGGGAGAGAGCCCTAGGCGGTGTCAGATACCGGTCTGGAGAAGATTTCACTACAGTAGTTTTTAATGACTCTACATGTATGTTCATTTTTAGAAGCAAGCTGATAGACTAGATGGTCCTTCAGAATCCTTGGACGAAGCTTAGCTCACTCACCAAATACTTCGTTCCTTTAGGTCATTACTTTCTTTTCAGCATAGTTACTTTTGAGTTTTAAACTCTTGTCAAGAATAAATAAAAGACCAGGCATGCTGGCGTATACCTTTAACCCCAGGAAGCAGGCAGATCTCTGCGAATTCAAGGCCACCCAGAGCTACATTAGTGAAATCCTGTCTAAAAACAGAAGGGGGGGGGGATCTTTTGTCTGACATTAGTAGAAAAGTAAAGTTAGGAATTGACTGACTTAGTTCAATTGAGCAGTCATAGAACAGGGGCCATGAAAGGATGTGACCCCAGTGGACCTTCATTGTCAGATTTCACTCAGCTGACTCCCCAGGGTTAGACCCCATCATCATCGTGCATCCTGGTGTCGAGAGTGTCGGACTACAGCCATAGCCACAAGGGGCAACTCCTTTACCAAACATCGTCGGCACTTACCTCCAGTTCTGATCTCCATTTATGCACCAAAGAGGATTTTCTTGTAAGACTTGTGCTGAAGCTGGTGTGCAGAAGGGGCTTGGTAGCCAGACAGCACAGCTGCAGCTGGAGCTTTGGCCCTTCGAATGTGCTAGTTCAGGCCTTTAGACCGCCGTAAGCCTTCATCCCACAGTTTGGGCTCCAGGTTGGTAGGTGACGGGAAGACCAGTTGTTTGGCACGGAAGCTTGAGTCGGTGGTGAAGATCCCAGCCCCTCTGACTGCGGTGTCTACCCAAAGCATTTCTCTGGCAAGAGGAATGATTTCATAACCAGCTTGTGTAGCGTCTGCCTGTTCGTCCCTCTCTACAGCTTTCTGTCTTTAGCGAAAGCCATAAGAATTTGTTTCAACTTTTCAGCTCATGTCTATAAATAAATATGTAAGCTATCATATAGAAGGTGATTGACAAATATTTTGCGTAGGTTGAAAAGCAGCTTCTGTGTCTACAGATGCCTGCACATCTGGCGGCTTTTCTTCCTACCGTGTATATAGTAAACTGCCTTGCAAATAGCTATGCAGGAGAGTCAAGGCAAATCTCCCTTCCTTGTTGTATGTTTTTTGTTGTTGTTCTTTTGGTTTTTTTTTTTTTTTTTTTTTTTGAGATAGGATCTTGCCATAGCCCAGGCTGGCCTCAAACTCATGGCAGTTCTTCTGCCTCAGCCTCTAGAATGCTGGAATTATAGGCTCACACCACCATGCCCAATTCACTCAGTGCATTCTGATTGCTACCTGTGATGAGCGTGACCAATGTGGCTGAACTGGCTAGCAGTTCATTAGCAGTGCTGCGGGGCTTACTGGGAGAACTCCTGCATAGCATGTGAGGTCCAGGTTTGATCCTTACTACCAAAATAGAAAAATAAAAGCTGATGTTGGTGATGCAGGAGCCTGTGGCTCTCTAGAAAGACAAAGGTCACCATGTACTTCCCTCCTGGAGAATGAAGTTTTGTGTTTCCTGGGAATGAATTCCTCTTTGACAGTCCCTGAGGGCTGGCACTGAGTGAGCTCCTGTGCTTGCGTCCCCTAATCCCCTGACTGTTGGCAGAGCCGCAGGAGGGACTTGGTGAGCCTTGGATGCACCTGCTTTTCTTTTGTGCCTTAATTGTTTTTGACTAGCAGAAGCATCACATCTTGGGAGTATCAGGGAGAAGTCAGAGGGGCAGCTCTCCAGGAGAGGGCTGGCCACAGGGTGTGGTCTCTGGCTTGTTGCCACTTTGATTCATTCTTACCCTGCATCAAATATTAGGTCTCCCCAGATAGGAGTTTCTGCATCCTGTATACCAAAAATGGTTTCTCCGTGTTTCAGAGGTTTTCTGTTATGTATTTTGTGCTTTTAAGAGAAATCAAATCTTACTACATTCTAGATAAGAAGTCAGTTCCTCCTATCAGGCTGTGCAGTATGGGCAAGAGCCCATTGATCATCAAACATTGAGTAGCCCTGAAGCCTGGGAGCTCAGCAGCACCTGACCCAGACTGGAGCCTGGCCTTAGAAGCCTTCAGTCTAGGAGAGACATGAGGCAAGGTTCAACTAAGATCTGTTTTTACCTATTGGCATGCTTTTGTTTTCGAGAAGAGATTTAATGTAGCTCAGGTTGACCTTGAACTAGTAATCCTCAAGTAGATGGGATTAAGAGGTTATAGGCACATTTTATAATGTCTGGGTAGCCTGCTTTCATTTTTAAATATACTTGGTTGTAATTTAGAACTGACTGGGAAAAAAATCAAGGCCACAATGGAATCGGATGCTGTAAACCTAGAGTTATATTTTAAATGTTTAGTTTTGTTTGTTTTGTTTAAACAATTAGGGGCTGGATGCGGTGACACACACCTTTAAGCTGTAAATGCAAGGCCAGTCAGGGCTATGTGGAGAAACTGTCTCAAAATGAGTGAAAATAAAAAATGGTTTGGGGATGTGGGGGAATGTAGCCCATTGGTGATGGGTAGAGCGCTTGCCGAACTGCCGGAAGCCTCAGTCCAGCCTAGACACTGCGTGCCCCGGGTGCGGCATGTGCAGGTAACCCCAGCCTGGAGAAGTAGAGGCGAGAGGATCAGAAGTTCAAGGTCATTCTTGGCTACATCTTGAGTTTCAGCTTTGGTTACACGAAACCTTGTCTCCAAAAAGTGGGGGGAGGGTTTTGGTAGAACACTTGCCTGGCATGTGCAAGGCCCTGGGTGTGACCCCCACCCCAGCATTGCAAAGAAAAAATAGTTTTAACTGAAAATTTAGTAGAAATAACTGAAAAGATGCTGAGGGATCAATGTGTAACATGCTGTTGACCAGAAAGGAGCAGGCAGGAGAGGAATCAATTACCTTTCCTTCCCTGAGTATGGATGCCACACTGATTCGGGTGGGTGTGTGGCATCCTCCACCCTCTGGTGAGCATGGCACGACCATCTGGGAGAGCAGAGCTCGGCAGAGGCCTCTGCGGTGTGCTATTTAAGGCGGCCGAGTGCAGTGTGGAACTGGAAACGCGGAGAAGAGTAGTTGGCGACGGGTGGGATGGCAGGCAGCACTGCTTGGCAAGACATTCTCCAGCCCTCTGAGATAGCCCAGCGTGTGCATTCCTGAAGCGTAGGAGAGTCGAGTGTTAGTGATTGTTAGGAAATACACTCAAAAGTTAACCAGTAATTAAGACTGGGGCACTGGCGAGGAGGGGCTGTGTGAAGTGTGGTGGGGGGCTGCCAAGTTTTAGGACACTATCTAGGGAAATTACCAAGAAAATAGCTCAAGAACATAGGAGTTTCTTTACCTACAAAGTTTGAACCACAGATCAGGAGTTGGCATGGAGTGCAAGATCAGATTGCTTCTTACAGAGCCGTGCTAAGTAAGCAACCTGAGACGGTTTTGAGTGGCTAATTTGGGTAAGGGGCATTTTCCCTGGGCCTATTCAGGTGATGGGAAGTGATCGTACTTAGAATTTGGTAGCCCACAACCTGCAGACTTAAATAAGAGTAGATCTGTATTCTCTCGTGAGCCAGCCAGATCTGTGTTTACAGGCTCCTTGACTGGACCGTAGAGCCTGGGAGACACGTGGGCTCGCACCATTTCACCCCAGCGCTTGCGCGTGTTCTTCCTTGCCCTGCACACCTTTAGTTCTGGCAACAGACACCAGGGGAATCCTTTGTGTAAATCGAGTCTGCTCTGCACACACCTGAGAGTAGTTGTGCATTTGTATCTGGATCTCTTCATGGTGAGTTGGGTAGTGGCTTCAACACCTAGCAGAGCCTTGTTGAGTGGTTTCCTGCCCCACTTGGCAGGCCGTGACTTGGAAGCCTGCTTTGCATCTTGTGCCTGTGTGTCCCAAGGTGTCCTGGCTTTTCTTGAAGCGAGGCTGGTTGGCCCAATCTGCTTACCAGTGGTCCAGTCACATCGCATGCTTTGAGAGGGGAAACAGAATTTATGGGAACTGTACTCAGTCATCCCTGAGCTGGTCTCGTGCCACTGCTTAGGACCTGTCTGCAGCTGAACGCACTAGATGCCTTTGAGTTTGATTTTCTTTTCTTTTTATTGGTCACACTTTGAAATACAAGTCAGCCCTGAATAATCCAAACACTTTATTTTATTTTTCTTTAATAGGAATTTTCTGAAGAAAACGTGATGTGTAAAACCTTTGATATTTAAGATAATAAAGTTTTTATCATAAGAAACTGTGTTTGATCTGTTCTTTTCAATTGAGATGGCTCTTCGCTCCAGCCCTTTTTCCTACCGGCCTTTGAAATTACTTCTGCCCAGGTACTGGGGCCATTGTTTCTTGCACCGTGTTCCGGAAGGAATGAGCAGCCACGAAGCTGACTTAGGTTGCTGGGGATCTGCTCCCTGTGGATCTATGATGAGCTTCTTGTATGCAGTTGGTACAAAATAGTAGACAACACTGACAGTGGGTATCAGCCTGTGGGTTCCGACCCTTTGGGGCAACAAACAACCCTTTCATAGGGGTCACCTAAAGCCGTGGGAAAACATTTGCATTATGATTCATAACCGTAGCAAAATTATAGTTATGAAATAACTGTAGCAATGAAAATTTATGGTTGGGGGTCACTACAACTTGAACTGTGTTAAAGGGACGCAGCATGGGCTGGAGAGATGGCTCAGTGGTTAAGAGCACTGGCTGCTCTTCTACAGGTCCTGAGTTCAAGTCCCGGTACCCACAACGGTGGCTCACAGCCATCAGTAATGGTGCCTCCTGGCATGCAGGTGTACATGCAAGCAAAACACTGTATACATAATCTTAAAAAAAAAAAGTGGGGGGTTGAGAACCGGAGCCTCGCTGCTTGGTGTAGTCCAGCTTTGCTGTTAATAGACTTAAAGGGCTGGGGAACACACACCTTTAATCCCAGCACTCGGGAGGCAGAGGCAGGCGGATCTCTGGGAGTTCCAGGCCGGCCTGGTCTACAGAGGGAGTTTCACGACAGGCTCCAACTGCTACACAATAACCCTGTCTCAACCCCCGCCCTCACAAAAAAAAAAAAAAAAAACCTTTAGAGATGGTTCAGCAGTTAAGAGCACTGGCTGCTCTTCCCGGGTTCAATTGCAGCATCCGCATGGCAGCTCACAGCTGTAACTCCAGTTCCAGGGGAATTGATACCTTCAAACCAATGCACATAAAATAAATTATTTTTAAAAGGGTAAAAGGGGGGAAGTTGGCTCCAGCACAAGCATGCTGACCTGACTTCATATCTCAGGGCCCACGTGAGAAAAGGCCAGGCGCCTCGGGCAGCGTGGCAGAGGCTGGCCAGTCCCCAGGGCTCACTGGCTTCCCAGCCTAACCAGTTGAAAATCTCTCCAAAGACGAGGCAGAGACTGATGAAGGAAGTGTGGACCTCTGACCCACAAGTGCATACTCACATACGCACACGTACCCTAGACAAGAGGAGGCAGATTGTAAGGATTGAACAGGTTACCACGTGGGAGCTGCTTAGCTGATAGCCGGCAAAGAACACACCTCTTAGGTGTGAGGTCACTGGTTCAGAGACGTGATGCCAAGTGGCGCTTGCAGAAGTCTTGCAGACCTACATTCATTTCAAGTCAAGCCAGTGGCTGCTGGGTCATGTGACCACAGCGGACTTTTAAGAGGGGCTATGAAGCCAGGTGGTGGCACTCGCCTTTAAGCCCAAGCTTTAGACCAGGCCAGCCTGGTCTACAGAGCGAGTTCTAGAGTTCTAGGACAGCCAGGACTGTAAGAAAGCCTGTCTCGAAAAGCCAGAATGAATAAATCAATAAATAAATAGAGTTGGAGAGGTGGCTCGGTTAAGAGCACTGACTGCTCTTCCAGAGGACCTGGGTTCACTTCCCAGCACCCAATGGCAGCTCACAACTGTAACTCCAGTTTCAGGGAATCATAACAATGTACATAAATTAAAGTTAAATAATTTTGTTTTTTTTTTTAAAAAAAAAGGGGGCCGGGCGGTAGTGGCGCACGCCTTTAATCCTAGCACTTGGGAGGCAGAGGCAAGCAGATCTCTGTGAGTTCGAGACCAGCCTGGTCTACAAGAGCTAGTTCCAGGACAGGCTCCAAAACCACAGAGAAACCCTGTCTCAAAAAACAAAAACAAAAACAAAAAAAAAAAAGAGGGGCTATGAAGTATAATCTATGTGTTTGCTTTGTGTGTGTGTGGGGGGGGGTAATTCTTTCGTTACATTTATTCTGTGGTGTGTGTGTGTATGCGCATACCAGGGTATGGGCATATACCCCAAGCTGGCCTCAAACCTGATCCTGCCTCAGTCCCTTGAGTGCTGAGGGTTAAAGGCCCATGCCAACTTAGCTAGCTAGGACATTGAAAACCCTTTCTTAAAGGGTTTCTCTGTGTAGCCCTGGCTGGCCTGGAACTCATAAAGGTCTGCCTGCCTCTACTTCCTGAGTGCTGGGATTAAAGGTGTGCACCACCACCTCTGATTTCTCCATGGGGTTCTTAAATCGCCCAGTTCTTTACTTTGCTTGAGATAGTGGAAGTAAGGCAAGCTGGGGAGGGGAGGGGACAGAAACAATCACCTGGTCACACAACAGAAATCCCAGCGACATATAATGAAGCTAGTGCCTCATAGCTGTGGAGTCTCCACACCTGTTTCCCCAGCATGGATTAAGATTGCACTAAATTCCAGGTGAGACAGCGACAGAGTCTCTTGGGAATTGACTTAACCCCATTTCTGTCACAGAACATCAGTACTGTCACAGATCAGGGAGTAGCAGACTTGACTCCCAGCTCTGCTCCGAAACTGAGACTCCCAATTGAGACCCGCTGTGTTTTGTTCTCTGACATAGGGCTGTATGAATCATATCCTGGCCTCACTATGGCTGTGTAGCTGAGAAGGGCCTTGAGCTGGACTCCTGTGCTCCTACCTCCCGAGTGCTGGGATTACCGGGCTGTACCACCACTCCCGACTGCACAACTGTTTGGAGTTGAGTTTTCTTGGTTGGTCGTTTGGTTGGTTGGTTGACTTTTTCCAAGACAGGATTTCTCTGTGTCCTGGTTGTCCTGGGACTCGCTCTGTAGACCAAGCTGGCCTCAAACTCACAGAAATCCGCCTGCCTCTGCCTCCCGAGTGCTGGAACTAAAGGCGTGTGCCACACCACCTGGGAGTCTCAAAACCCTTCCATCTCTATTTTAAGGCCCCTAAGTGATGCGCTTACTTATTCACTCATTTTAAGCAGATCTTCTATACCCTAGGCTGGCCAAGAAAGAGATGGAACTGAGAGTGAACCCCCTGCCTCCACTTCCTAGTGCTAGCATTACAGGTATGCACCACCGTACTTACTTTATCAAGTGCATGAGCTCAAACCCAGCGCCTCCTGCCTACTGGACCGGTACTCTCACTATCAACTAAGCTGCAATCCCAGCCCCTGTGTTTTGGGTTTATTTGTTTTTTGTTCTTGTAATGCTGAGGCAGGAGAGTATTTGCCTAGCACTAAATACCCAGTGTTGCAGAGAACAAGACTATAAACTTGCTGTGTCAGGGGAGTACGTGTCAGAGGGCCAGGACAGAAACTCACATATTCGGGGGCTGGAGAGATGGCTCAGTGGTTAAGAGCATTGCCTGCTCTTCCAAAGGTCCTGAGTTCAATTCCCAGCAACCACATGGTGGCTCACAACCATCTGTAATGATGTCTGGTGCCTTCTTCTGGCCTGCAGACATACACACAGACAGAATATTGTATACATAATAAATAAATAAATAAAAGAAACTCACATATTCAGCTGGAGAGCAGACAATGGGAAAAGGGTGGGACATCCACTTAAGTAAAAATACAATGAAATAGTTTTGGGTTCTGTTCTTGTTTTTTAAGTTTTAGAAAACTTGTGCCTGGTGGTAGTGGCACACACCTTTAATCCCAGAACTCTGTAGGTAGAAGCAGGCAGATCTCTGAGCTGGAGGCCAGCCTGGTCTGTAGAGTGAGTTCCAGGACAGCCAGGGCTACAAAAAGAAACCCTGTCTTGGAAAACTAAAATAAATGAATGAATGAATAAAAAAAATAAGTAAAGCCGGGCGGTGGTGGCGCACGCCTTTAATCCCAGCACTTGGGAGGCAGAGACAGGAGGATGTCTGTGAGTTCGAGGCCAGCCTGGTCTACAAAGGGAGTTCCAGGACAGGCTCCAAAAGCTACAGAGAAACCCTGTCTTGAAAAACCAAAAAAAAAAAATAAATAAATAAGTAAGTTAGTAAATAAATAAATGCCAAAAGTACGTGTTAAATGTGGGCTTGGCTGGTAGAGTGCCTGTGGGCAAGCGCAGGCCCTGGGTTTCTTCCCAGCACATCAAGTGGGCGGGCTGGCACATGCCTGCATTCCCAGCACTGGCAAAGTGGAGACTGGAGCGTCAGGCTTTCAAAGCCACCCTTGGCTACACAGCAAATCCGAGGCCAAGCTCGGCGCCTTGAGGCTCTCGAAACAGAAAAAGGCGTCACAAGCAGAAGATAGAGAAATGGCTCAGAAGAGGGCGAGATTGCTCCCGGATACTACTGCTTTGTTCTGAGGCATTGGCGACCTGTCCTTATCTGTGAAGTCACTCCCTCTTTAGTCCCAGAGGAGGAAGTCCTTAAGCGGCCAGGACCGTCTTCCCTCCCAGTACCTGCTCCTCTCACACCCTGAAGCCAGCTCACCCTCAACCCTGTCGGTGCCACCTCAGAGCACAGAAGTCTGGTCATGACCCAGATCTGTCCTACATGGCCCTCCTCCACGCCTCCAATAGCCCCTCCCTCTGAGTGCAAGGCAGAACCTTCTTAATGTCTCCAAGGCCCCTTACTCTTCAGTTGTCATCTGCCAGCTCCCTCCCTGGATCCAGCTCTAAGCTTCGCTGGCTGCGTGAACGTGAATAAGTCACCCTTGCTCCTTCCTGCCCCTTAAGGCCTTAGCACCCCCGCCATTCATTCTTCAGCCTGAAATGTACTTACCCCACGTTCCTTCCTTTTTCTCCTTTCTCTCGGTTCTTTGTGCAAACGTCACCCTTGGCGTTCTGTGGCTACTTTACCCAAGTCCTAGCTGCCTCTCTTTCCTGCATGTCTTTCTTCTCCTTAGACTGACCCCTTCTCACGCAATCTAAAATTCTCTCCTGTATCTTGCTTTAGAGTTGTTTTATTTTTGAGACAGGGTCTCTCTGTACAATTCTGATTGTCCTCGAGCTTACCGTATAGACGAGCGCTCTAACCCCCCCCC